ACCTGAGCTGCACTGAATCCCCCAGTGCAGTGCTGTGTGCAGGAGAGGAAGTGCTTCCTTTGCCCTTTTTGACCCTCTCTGCTCCTGTACCAGATGAGCTTCTATTGTCTCAGTTCTCAGCATCTTCAGTCATTTCCTCTCCCACTGCTTCTTCAAACATCAACAGGTTTCCCCTACGCTGGAAAGCTCTTCCTTTAGCTGTGATTGCCCGTCCATTTCTTCTTTCTCACTACCAGAGAGTCAGGGACTTCATTTCTTTATCCAGCACCTGTGTCTGCAGTTCCGCTACTCTGCATCTGCTTTCTCGACTGCCAGTAATCTTTTCCCCTTGGAGTACGGATCTTGTTTCTCCAACTAGACTGTAAGTTCCTTGAGGGCAGGGATCACTTTACATTCGTCCTTGTATTCCCCCACAGTAGTTGGCACAGCGCCTGGTTCACTATAAGCCTAGTTTGTAGTTGGCAGCCAAACCACAATCCTAATTAAACTCAACTCTCACATTGATTACACCAAACTAGCACCCAAGCAGCTGAATTTTGTTGGAGGAGAGCTCACAAGTCCTGTGTCATCTCATCAATCTCAAAATACCCTCTCTGGTATTCCTACACTACTGGCTGACTAGGTTCACTTTCTCACCAAAATGACTATTTCACACACTTTCTCCTGTCTCAGACCTTCCATATTGTCTCTCTCCTCACCCTCTTAGCTGAAGAGCTGGCCTCTTCCTTCTTCAAGAAAATCAGAATCAGGAGTAGTGCTGTGCTGGTAAATGGCTGACAACTGGCTTCAAAGGACCCGATTTATAGCATTTGCTAATTCCCATGGCGCAAATACTCCCACCTGCCAATTTCAAGCTACCAACATGAAGTAAGGATGGAAGCAGAGATCAGAGGGTGAGAGGTTCTACCTTGGCTTTGAAGATGGAGGGAGGGGCCATGAGCCAAGAAATGCAGGTGGCCTCTGGAAGCAACCGAAGCCAAGGAAACGGATTCTCTCCTAAAGCCTCCCAAAAGAATACAGGCATGTCAACCTGAGGTTAGCCCTGTGAATTTGATTTTGGAATTCTGACCTCCCGAAGTATAAGATAGTAGATTTGTGTTGTTTTAAGGAAATAAGTTTGTGGTGATTTGTTTATAGCAGCAATAGGAAACAAATACACTGTTGTAATCTAAGATACTACCACCATCTCTCACCTGCACTACTGAAATAGAATCCTAACCTGTCTCTCTGTGTCCATCTTTTTCCTTTCCTTTATTGTGGTAAGAACACTTAACATGAGATCTACCCTCTTCACAGATTTTTAAGTGTGCAAGACAATATTGTTAACTATAGGCACAATGTTGTATAGCAGGTCTCTAGAACTTACCCATTTTGTGTAATTGAAACTTTACACCCATTGGTTAGCAACTCCCTGTGTCTCTTTCCTCGTCCTTGGCAACCACCATCCCACTCTCTGCTTCCATGAGTTTGACTGTTTTAGGTACCTCAAATAACTCAGTGTTTGTCCTTCTATGATAGGCTTATTTCACTTAGCATGATATCCCATGTTGTAAAATGCTGCAAAATTTTCTTCTTTTTTAAAGGCTGAATAATATTCCATTGTACGTATTCTCTATGCAGTTCTTGAGTCCCTAAACATCTTCCCCACAGCAGTGTGGGTGATGATTTCAAATCCCCGCTCAAAACTGGCCAAAGGCTGGCTTTTCATCCATTTGGGATAAAATCCAGACTCCTTACCTTGGACTATAAGGCCCTCTATGGCCCTGGCTAACTGTCCAGCTATGTTGAATTGCTCTCGCCTTGTCCACCTCTCCAACCTCTCTGGTCCTGGCGCCTTTGCGGTAATCATTCCCACTGCCTAGAATGCCCGCCAACTGTCAGGTGCCCAACTGTCTCTTTCACCTCTTCCAGATCTTAACTTTCTCGTGTCCGGTTTGCCTTCATTAAATTATAAACTCGGCGTGAGAACAGACAGCGTGTTCTGCACCTAAAGTGGGGTAGTTGGCTCCACTAAAAGAGGGAGCGACCACTAGAGAGTGTAGCCAGCGAAGGTTTCTCAGTGGTGTCTTGGTAGCTGATGTTTGTATTCTTTTTAGAGAGACCAGGGAAAAGGATTCCCTATCTGGTTTTGCAAAAGGTTGTTTTCTGACTTCTTTGGGTAAAGAGATGGGTGGGATTGTGGATACAGAATTGAGCCTATTTTGAAAAGGCAGAATGGTACCTGAGTTCACGTCTTTTCAAAATGCTGTGTCTTCTATTGGTGTTTTAGTTTTGTTCCTCCTTGTTAAAAATTTCAGTATTATCTAGTAAGAAGAAACCAACTTTGAACAAATAATATTCAGGATGAAAATTTTAGGATTGCAGTAAAAAGAATTTACCAAGCTTTTACCAGCAGAGGGGGTATAGCTCAGTGGTAGAGCATTTGACTGCAGATCAAGAGGTCCCCGGTTCAAATCCGGGTGCCCCCTTGGTAACCTTTAAGTTTTTCACAGTCAGGTATAACCCAGACATCTAAGGGTTCTCTGAATCTGAAACTCTGGAATCCTTGTCGCTTCTACTTGGCTGATTTCCCCCAGCAAGTACTTGTCCCTTGTACCTGAGAAACAAAGAGCAACACCACGGAAGTTGAATAGGGATTACTTTGCCAAGCCTTACTACATACCCCAAACTCGTGGAATCCCTGTGGGTAGAAAGAAGACGCAGAACTATTTTCCTGAGATTGTTCTGTTCAAGAGCTATTGGTTTAATGTTATAGTTTCTTTTTGGGTAACAATGGAGTGCCTGGCCAGGGCAATATTATTTTGCTTAGTTCATACTCTGAATTGAGAGGATTAGGGGAAGAGAGTCCAAGTTTGGAAGGTTTATCTATGTGGTCACGAAGTTTAAGACCCAGGGCATAGAGAAGATAGGTCAAAAGTAGACGGCGTTCTCTTTCTTTACATTAGCTCAAAGGCAGAGCTTTGGTGTGATCAATGTACAGGTGGTAAGTTTGAGGCCCGGTGTCCAGGAAAGGGGTGAAAAGCTGGGTATTTCTTGGGACTGGGCTTTGCACCAGGACAACAGTCTCCATGTCCAGGCTCTTGACGCTTCTCAGTTATGGGAGCCATTGGGAAAAATGCACTCCAGCATTCCCCCGGGGCTCCAAAGGATGACACAACCAGATTCCGGGTTTAAAATATCACAGCTGCCCCCTGACCCAGGCAGCATGCCTCTCCCTTTCTCCTTTATTTTTCCTTTTTTTGGGCAAAATCTAGTCAAGGGGGACGCCGTTGCTGCTTTAATTCTTATTATTTCCCTGTGGCCCAACAGTGATCTGACAACAGATATCTGTCCCGCCTTCAGGTTGTGAAACTCGATGGCCTCCTATTACTAGTTCAGTGGTTCTCAAAATGTAGTCCCCCCCTCCACCACCAGCAGCATCATCACCCAGGAACTGGTTACAAATGCAAATTCTTGAGGTCCCACCCCAGGCCTACAGAATCAGAAACTGGAGGTGTCTTAACAAGCTCTTCTGGTAATTCTGATGGACACTCAAGTCTGAGAGTCACTGCAATAGTATATCAGTTTGCATCCGGTTGTAACTTTATTTTTGTAAATTAAAATGAGCCTATGGGTGTGCCTTCGCCATTTTGACATATTTGAAGCGCTTTGGGGAAGGGCAAACACAACAGGTCTATGACACCGTTAATAAAGAAAGTTGGAGAAAGGCTTAATTTGTGGGTTTCCCTCTCTTGACCAACTCCCCCATCGGAAACGGAAAGCCAAAATAGGGGAGTAATCTTGTCCCCTGACCCTGGCGCCTCCAACTGCCTGACACATTGTGAGGCGGCTGGCTGGCGGCCGCCCCAGAAATCCCGACACTTTGGGCGCAGATCATGGGGACGCGCAGCTTTTGTACTTGATTTGTGCGAACATCCACTCCTCCTCCTGCTGGGTACAAAGCAAAAGCGAAAGCTTTCTGCTAACGGTTGGAAAATGAGGAAGGCATTTTACAAAACTCGACTTTCTGTTTTCTTTTAATCTAGGATCCAATGTTAAGAGTAGATCCAGTAGTTTGTTAACTACTTTACCACAGAGTGAAGGAAAAGCCACGAAGGGGGCACCCGGATTTGAACCAGGGACCTCTTGATCTGCAGTCAAATGCTCTACCACTGAGCTATACCCCCGCGCCGCTGCTGCGCTTGGAGATGGCTCTTTTGGATGCTAAGACACTGCTACACTGAGGGTAGGGAGAAAGAGTAAGGGGAAAGGAATGAAGGAAGAAAGGGGGGCCAGGGAAAGCAGGGTGTCAGCCGGAGAGGGGGAGCTTGACTGCAGGGGCAGGCACTTGGGGAAGGGTAGGGCATAGCTCTCGGGCTGCGAGGCACAGTGTGTCCCGGCAGTGACGGGACGGTTCCGCCCACAAATGAAAGGATGTGGGGAAGGGGCTGAGGGCGGGGCAGGGCTTCCCGTTCGTCCTCACAGGTTCACTCCAGTACCGGGCACAAGGAAAGTCCCCCACAGGTGAATCAGTCGGGCGTTCCGAACGTTCCAGCCCCACCCCTGGAGCGGGTGCGAGGATTTACGCGCCTCTCTCTCTGCCAGGCTCCCCCCAGATGTGCAGCCAGACCATCCCGCGGTCTCCAGTGCCAAGGGCCCCTGGCCTCCGGGGCGCACCTCTCCCGGGCACCTTTTGTGGAAGCACGCCCAGGCACGCACCGGGACCCCTCCCACGCCCTAGACGCGCGCCCCGGCCCCGCAGCCCTCCCGGGTCGCCCGCAGCCCCGTCGCCCGGGGGAGCGCCGCCCGCGCTTTGCCCTGTCGCGCCCGGCGTCCCATGGTGCAGCCCCTCCTCCCCGCTGTGTTTATTAGGGGAGGGCGGAGGCGGAAGGCCAGACCCTATCCAGCCGCCGTCGTCGCTGCCTGTGTAGTTGCAGCCGCAGCCCGCCTCCCGCCAGCTCGCTCCGGGGAAGAACGCCTTGCGCGCGAGCTCGGGCGTCCCCACCCAGCCCTTCCGAGCCATGAATCCCAACTGCTGCCCGGGCGGCGAATTGTGTACCCCACGGAGAAGGTGAACGCTGTCTGGACCGTTGAGCCCGAGATCCGGAGACGCGTCGTTGCGTCCCGAGCAATGCTCCAGATTAAGGGGAGGAGAGAAGGGCCGGGTCTCTGCCGCCTCATCCCAGCGATCCCGGGAGAAGGGAAGGAGGCAGGGTGTCACAGAAGTCAGGGACAGACCCCTGATCAAAAGGCTCGGGAGATCTGCAAAGGCGGAGTCGCGCGTGGCGGAGGGCCACTACCGGAGAAGAGTGGGCTCTGTGCCCTGGGGCTGGGAGGACGGAAGAGGACTAGGGAGGCCAGGCCCCGGGGGGGGGGAAGGATTGAGGGGTGCAGTCCCGCCCCTTAGGGCCGGGAGAGTGAGAGGAGACGGCCGCTCCCTCCGGCACGCTGAGCATAAATGGGGCGCTGAAGCGCAGAGACGCTGGGGGAGGGAGAAGGGAGAAACAGCAGGGGGGGCGGGGCAGAGGCTGGGGGGCCCAGTGAAACCTTCAGCTCTGGCCGCAAATGGCCGGACTTCATGGCCTGGAGACTGGGGGGCGGGGGCTATCAGCCGGCGAATGTTGCATCTGGTGAACTGGGCTACGGATAAGGATCCGAGCCCCTCTGCGAGACCCCTTTTTTTGGACGACCTGCACCCCCCTCGGTGGTTCAACGCTTAATGGACTAGCAGCAGACCTCCTCTATAGCTTCCCAGCCCCCACCTCAAATTAGAAGCCAACTCTCGGGGCTGGGCTGCCCAGCCAGAGCGGGGCGGGGTCGGGTGCTGGAGTAGGGTGGGTGGGGGTGCTTTGCAGAGATCTCCTGAAATTGTGCTCAGAGCCTGAGACTGGCTTGTAGAACAAAGAGCTAACTTTTCAAAGCAGGTTTCCCCAATGGAGGGTGAGGTTGGCTGAGTTCAGGGGAAGCCAAGAAAAGGGGGAGGTGTTAGGAAGAGGGGAAGGTGGCCTTCTGGAAATTCACGGTCCCCTGGGGGCCCTTACGCGTCGTCTCCCCCATCCATGCTGGACTTGTTCATCTGGTTGCTATTATACTTTTGGAGGGGGGCGGAGAGTAGAACTGGGTGTTTCCAGCAGTTTGGGGTAGGTTCCGGTCTTTTAAACTCCCTGAGATGCTAAGGCGATGCCTCCCCTCTGCATCTTCTCCCCACTCTGGAGGAGAAGCCTCTGTGGTTTTGTCTCCCTCCTCATCATGCCTTTTGCCCACCTCCCAAAGCTGGCTCCAAGTCCAAATGTTCCCTCCTAACTGTCTGAACTGGCAGGGGTTGGGGGGCATGGGATGGAAGAGGGGTACAGAAGTCTGGGGCCAACTTTTTCATTGCACACCTGGAGCCACGGTTTATTTGGGAAAGGATAGTTCATTGGATACTTTTGGTCTCTTCCCTCCCCTTTGGGATTGACGCTTTCTCAGTGATCTTTAGCCTCTGAATCAGGGAGACGGGATTGTGTTCCCAGGTCCTGAAATACATTTGAACTTGCTCTTGGGGGAATCGAGTATATAGGGCTGCTGCTGTTTCTCTGTCTCTCCTGGTCTTGGCTGGGCAGGAGGAGAGGAGGGCTTATATTATGAACACAAGCGATGTGGGTGCTGACCTTCCCAAAGACCATGCCAGCCTCCGGAGGGCAGGACTTGAGCTTGGGGGCACTAGCTAAAGAACAGACTGTCCTTGCATACTGGGATTTTTACCTTCCCCTGGTGGGGAGGGATTTTGGCCTCTGCATTTCATGTGCCTCTCTTGTTCTCCATAGTCATGGACTATGGAAAGAGGCTGTGGGCTCTTTCACCTGTATAAGGCAGAAGCAACGTAAGGTGGAGGGATTATTGGGCCAGGAGTTGGGAGACTTGATCCTAGTTCCAGGTCTGCTCCCACCAGCTTTATGAATGGCTCTAGGCCTCAGTATTCACCATCTGTCAGATGGGTATGAATGATGTCATTTCCTTGGAGGTGGGACAGTGTACTAAAGTGTCCAGAAGGGGATGTGGTATAGGCTGTGCCGTCCCTATCTTTCTGGGATAGTCGGTCCAGCCCCACATTCAGCTCCCTCATAAAGTCTTTTGAGAGTGCTGTGTGCCAGAGGGGAGAGGGTAGTGATCCCACAAAGTGCCTTCCCCTGGGGGTTCTCTTGTCCTAGCTGGAAGAGGACATTCAGGCAGGTGGGGGCAGGTGGGGTTGCCCTGGGAAGGAGGTTTTTTTAAAAAGCCCCGTGAGGGGCTCAAACTCACGATTCTAAGGTAAAGACCTGAGCTGAGATCAAGAGTCTGACGCTTGACTGTCTGAGCCACCCAGGTGCCCTTCCTCCTCTTTTTTTGAGCTCTCCTTACAGGAGGTGGCCCTGGGGAGACCTCAGCCCCTGCACTGAGCAGGAGGCCTAGAATATTTAGGTATCAGACCTGTTCCATGTAACCCTCCCCAGGCAGTAAGGACAGACACTTGGACTAGGGACCTGGTGCCCAGAGGACCAAGACCTGGGAGGGGGGAACATTCAGTCCCATAAGTGTGGTTGCTAACCAACTTCCCAAGGCCTGCCATTTTATAGGAGAGAGGCAAATTAGACTCATTTCACTACGATTTCCCTATGGCACATAGCTCACGATGTGACCCAGAGCACAAGCCACGTCCTTGGTGTTAGTCTTTTCTCCTCCCTGAGCCTTATCTCCCGAAGGCTTAAGTGGGTAAAGGCCATGTCACCTCTGATGGCCACCCTGCCCCCAACCTGCAGTACCCAGTATGCTGTGCACGCTGAATAAATATGTATTGCTGATGACGATGTTTGAGGAAGGAGGTCGAAATGTGCTTCCCCAGAGGACTTCTGGGCTTAGAGTTGGGGGGAGAAATGGGGTGACCTCATTCACTCATTCATTTGACAAATATTTATTGAGCACCTGCTTTGTGCCAGGCTCTCTGAATGACTGCTGCAGGAACGTTTGGGGAGGAAGAGAGTCTGTGTCTTGACACGTCCTCTACATTTTGAGAAGGGTGGAGTTTTGTCTCCAACCCTGTTGGGAAGCATTTGTATCCGGGGACCTGTGCACTGTCTAGAATCTCCCCTGGCTTGCTTTCCCAGCCTCCTGAAAACAGGTGGAGATATTCAGGAAGGCTAGAGGACTGGTAGGCTGCTAGTTCCCCTGGAATGCTTTTTTTTTTTTTTTTTTTTTTTTTTTTTTTTTTCTGGAATGCTTCTTTGGGAGGGCTCTCCTCCTCTGGTGGTCTGAGCCACCCCCCCACCCCCCCAGGGGGCAGCAAGGCAGAAGGCGGCTGGGCTAGACACAGAAGAGGAGGCAGGTCCATGAAGCCGTGGTGCCCCATTTTCCCAGCTGAACCCCACGATCACGTTGTGATCATCCGTTCACAGGAGCTACTCCTTATTGCGACGTGTCAGCTTCAGTCTTCACAAAACCGATGCGATTGCTCCTCTGAATTATGAACCCCCTAAGCGGAGGCTCAGATAGGTCATGCGGCTCACTCCCTGCTCACCCAGAGCTGTGAGCAGCCGCTTCCCCTACCTGCACCGTGATTCCAGAGGGAGAGTGGCTGGCCCAAGCCTCGACCAAGTATGGAGGACCTTGCTTCTGCCCTCATCAGCCTCCATTTGCCTTTCTGTGGAGTGGGGTTTCAGTGGGACGGGTTGTAGTTTTGGAGCTGTGGGTGAGAGCGTGGAGGGCACTGCCGGTGCCTGGAGATGGGCTGAGAGGGTTCTTATTGGCACTGGACGTCTGGGTTTTGTGACTAGGGAAACTGTGGACTCCCAGGGCAGCAGGAAGGATTAGAGGTGCACGCCCAAAGGTGTACTTTGCCCCCCCCCCCCCCCCCCCCGAGACTACAGGCTCAGGAATGCATCTCTGAAAACTTCTTATCTGGGGCCTTCAGGAAAAGGGGGTGCTCTTGCTCTGGGACAGGGCCAGTGGGGCAAGGGAGGGAGGCAGACAGGTCCTGGTGGGGCCGTACTGACTTATTTCCCTGTGTCATTCACTGGACCCGACTGAAACAGGGATGGGGTTTCTTTCCTCTTGGGGTCCCCTTGGGGTCCCCAGCCCAGGCTTGGCCCACAGGGACTTTTGGGTGACTTGTCATCTTCTGTTCCCCCTTCCACTCCTCCCTCGCCCCGCTCCAAAGAGGACACAGTAGCGGGAGCTGCCGGATTTTCTTTAACCTTGGAGCCCTCCTCTAGAGAGAGGAGGGAAGTGACAGGAAGCCGCTATCAGTGCTGGGCTTGGAGCCTGGAACTGGGTCATCTCATTCCTCCCACCACCCCCACCCCGCCCCTCTGTGAGACCACTTTCCAGACTCAGAGACTGAGTTCAGTAGCGACCCTGAAGGCACTCGGTCCCCTCTTGTTTTCATTATTCTGCTCCTGAGCCCCATGTAGGGAACAGGTGACTACTGCCCCAGCCTTTAATGTGTTAGCTGAGAGCAAGGGGTCTTGGGGTGAGGGGGGAAGAGCTAATGATGGAAATGGGCCCCGTCCCCTCATGGGGGCCCCCTTCCTCCAAAAGGCAGCTAGGAGGTTTCTTGTGGAACCCCCTGCACCCCCAGCCTGGCCAGTCTGCTCTGCCTCCCTTCCCCAGGGGCTCAGCTCCAGGGTGGGGACCTGGCCATCTGCTAGGGTAGGGCTGTCTCTTTCTTTCCCTGTGTCTCCCCCAGGTCGATCAGGAGGCAGCGTTGGAGGTCCCCAGTCCTAGGACAGTGCATATTCCTGCATATATGTGTGTGAAAGTGGGTCATGGTCCGGATTCCAGAGAATGTTTTTCCTGGCAGGCCCCTGAGGGGGTGGGGGGGAGGCGGAGGCCCAGGCAGGGGCCTGTGCAGCTAGGCAGGCAGCGGCCAGCAGACTGGGTGGTGACAGGGCTGGGGCACTCTGCCAGCACCTCCCAGGCATTGGGGGAGAGAGAGGGGCTGTGACTTTGGGGGCTGGTGGGGGCCGGGACTACCCTGTTCTGGTCTGCCAGCCAGGTTGCATGTGCTGGGTTTTTGTTCGGAGAGGAGTCTGGGCTGGGCTCTGGGATGGGCCCAGGTTGGGGTGAGGGCCAAGCTTACGCCAGCCGTGCCTTTGCTTCCAGACTTCCAGCTGGCCATCTTCCCAAAAAAGTGGTTCTCCTATCACTTCATTTACTATTCCAGCTTTGGAGAGTCTCCTCGATAGGGAAAGTACCCTGTTAGAAGGTGATTACCCCCAAATTATCCCCTGGTCCCTGGTTGAAGTGGGCCAGGGTCGAGGAGGTGGTATCGCAGCTTCTCAGCTTCCTTTTTTCTGTCCCCTCTTCCAAAGTGTCCCAGAAACATCCCTTGGCTGGGCAACACATTTTGAAAAGCCCTGTCTTGGAGGGATTCCTTAACAGATGGCTATGAACCAGCCCTGTGCTGGGCACCTTCGCAAGTCTCCCTGGGCTCTTCCCTGGCTTCCGGCCTCCTTCTTTGAGGGGTCAGGAGTGTCTTCCTCTGACTGCTGGGAAATGGGGCTGAGACGGGCCAGCCAGGTCACCAGACAGCCCGGATTCTGGGGTCCTGGAAGCTGGACTCCAGGTTGGTGTTGATCCTGGGCTGCCAGGGGGGGCGATTTCTATATCCTTTGTGTGGGTTTGCCCAAGAATCAGCATTTCTCAGGATGGGAGCATTTCTGTTGCATCGGTCCCCCTTCCTTCCTGGTCTTTGGCTCTGTTCCCCTTGACTGGCCCCCCTGGATTGGTCCCTGGGTTTTGCTGGAGTCTTACCCGCATTGTAGCTGTGGTTGGGCACAGGGAAGCCCCACCTGCTTCCCAGCACACACAAGCCTCCAGCGGGAGCTGCTGAGCCCCCTCTGCTGGGTTTGTACCTGTCATGGGGCCCAGCACCTAACATTCGAGTACTTAGAGGGGGCAAGCGCTGTGCTGAGTGTCTTACAGGTGGTTTCTCCTTTGCTCCTCATTATTGCTGATACTCTTTTCAGACATGAAGATGGCTCGGAGGCATACGCCCTGACCAAGTTCGCACAGCTAGTCAGGGTGGAGCTTTGATGCCCACTGTGGGGGATGTACCTCCTGTAATGCCTCAGAGGGAGAGCGGCTGTGGGGGTCCTCTCGTCCCAGTTATCTGACTGGGGCTGGGAGAAGGGAAAGGGAAGGAGAAAGAGTGTGAGTGTGGTGGCCAGAGCTTGGGACACCCACCCCCCACCTGGTCACGGGTCCTTCGAAGTGGGAGGTATGAGAGCTGGAGCTGCGCCAGGGGCCCATGTGTAGCGGTCCTGGAGCGAGAGTGAGGAGTGCCAGGGTTTCGGCCCAGGGGCCTGGTGGCCGGCCCTCCTCTCCTTCTCCAGACCCTGTCAGGCTGCGGGGCTGCCCCTCTGAGTTCAGCAGCTGTGGCTTCTTAGCAACCCTGGTGCAGCTTTGCATAAGCAATGAGGCTTCTGGTGGTGGTGGTGGGGGGGGGGGCAGCAGGAGTGGTCGGGGGAGGTGGGGCCATCCTTCTGGGGACAGCTTGCCACTGTTAGAACCGGCCCCTTCCACGCTCACCCTTCGTGCCTGCCCGTCTCCTGCTCCTGAGAGCTCAAATGGCTGACGGGTGGGGAGTGCGGAAGGGAGGAGAATGTCAACGGCTGCCAGAGCCTGTGACTTGAGATGTCCCCGGCTCACCCCCGGGGTGATTCTGTGTCCCAGTCCCTGGGAGGGAGGGCTCCTTCCTAGGGCCCGAGTGCCCCTTCCCGAAGTCCTGGTGTCTGATGGGTGTCCCCCCCTCTGTGCCTCTGTCCCCAGTTCTGGCATAAAGCATGCTTCCACTGTGAGACCTGCAAGATGACACTCAACATGAAGAACTACAAGGGCTACGAGAAGACGCCCTACTGCAACGCGTGAGTCCTGCCTCCCTCCCTAGCTCTTCCTTCTGTTCTCGCGATGTTGCCCAGCACTTGCGCGCTCTACCTAGGAAGCGTTCAGCGCGTTTAGTCCTCACCCCGGCTGGATGAAGTAAGGGCTGCTGGTGTGCCCATTTTACAGGGAGGGAAACTGAGGCTTGGGAAAGGAATAGTCTTTCCCCAGATTACACGGCTAGCGAGAGGCTGGTTGAAACCCAGCCAGGCAAGCATGTTCTTCCCAGTGCACCCTGCTGCGAGAGAGGGCCCAACGCGGTCCTTCAGGGAACGGTGCTCTCTCTTACTTACCCCCTGCCGGAGGGGCTTGGCGAGGGCTTCTGGCAGCAGCCCTTCCTGGCGTTCATCTCTTGAGAACTGAGGGCAACGTGAAGGTGTGGCTGGGCCTGGGGCAGGCCTCTTCCTGCCAGTGAGGGAGGCCGTGGAGACCTTCATGTCTTTTCCAGTGGAGTTGGCTGGGGCTCTGTTCCTTTCACACTGGGACCCGCAGCCTGTCCTGATGCGGGGAGACGGGTAGAGGTGGGGTCCTCCATCCAGAAGGACACCCCTCTCCCATCCCTTGCAGTTCCGGAGAGTGCACCGCCTTCTACCTTCAAGTTGACGTCATATGTAGCAAGTGTAAACTCAGTACAGGTCCACGGTATATGCAGGACCTCCCAGCCACCCTGCTAGTGAGGGCTTCAGAAGGTCAAGTCACTGAGTCACGGCAAAATCCATATTCAAAGAAATTCAGGATCTGACTTGCGTCTAGGAATTTCTTTGGTCAGGAGGCTCTTCGCGGCAGAATCGCTGAGGAGGGGAACACTGGGACTTGTCGAAAGGGGTAGGGGGCTTAAACACCCTTGAAAGGCTGCCTCTCCCTCACAGCAGCCCCAGTCCCCTCCTTGATACCCCAACCTCATCATCCCTGGGGGTTTGAACATTCATCAGGCAAGGGTGCCTGCCAACTGCTATATGCCAACCTGTATCAGGAACTGGGAAAGGAGATTTCTTAAAAAAATTTTTTTTCTAATGTTTATTCATTTTTGAGAGAGAGCGTGAGTTGGAGGGGGGCTGCATAGAGAGACGGAGACACAGAATCTGATTCAGGCTCCAGGCTCTGAGCTGTCAGCACAGAGCCCAGTGTGGGGCTCAGACTCACGAACCACAAGATCACGACCTGAGCCGAAGTCGGATGCTCAACCGACTGAGCCACCCAGGGGCCCCTGGGAAAAGAGATTTCTAAATGACAAAAATCTCAAGCCCAAGAAGCAACCTGGATATTGTCCTTTCTGGGAGGGATTGGGCACTGGGAAGGCTGCCTGGGGTAGAAGGAAGATCCCAACTCTCTCCTGGCTTTTGCTTCAGCTGCCTCCTCTCTTCTATTAGCTTCCACTGGTCCTCTCCCCCCTACCAACCCCTCCCACCCCCCAAGGGAAATGGGACATTCTTAGAATTCTTACAGGCTCACACAAGCCCTGATTCTCTGCCACTTCCTCCCTCTGTTGGGGAGCGGGGTGGGGTTCAATAAAGCCAGAGGCCCGGGCAGTGTAACCCCTTCATGGCTGGACCACTTGGAGCTGGATTCTGAGCCCTGAGACTCCTTTGGGGGCAGTTTCTGAGCCTCGGCCCCACCCGGCAGAAGTCTGGCTGAGCCACGTCTCTTCCTAAGACTCTAGTAGCCTAGCATTCAGTGAGCATTGGGAGTTGGTGACAGCAGTCAGCCTTGTCCTTGTTTCTCGGCGTTTTCTCAGCCTGATGCTAACTGCTCTCACCCTCTTCTGGGGAGGCTGTGGTAAGTGGGGGTGGGGACTCCTGGAGGTGTTGGGGTCTCTGGGGGCGGTAGAAGATGAAGCACCTCTCCCCGGATGCTGCTTCCACAGTGCCCAGGCAGAGGCTCCTGTCTCTGTCCTGGCCCCCAGCCGGAGAAGCAGACTGGCCTCTCTCTGTTTCCCCAGGCTTTACCGCCCCAGCCTCTGCCCTGCCCAGTTGACCTTTGGCCCAGCTGGGATGTTACCTCGGAGGACTCAGAGGACTCGGAATGAGAGCTGAAGCTCTGGGGGGATGTGTGGCCCGGCTGTGTCTCACCTCCGCTGGGAGTGGGCAGAGTAACACCCTGCCCGAGGCGCTCACACTCCCTCAGCCAGCGTCTGCTAGCAGTTGGTCCGGACCCAGCAAGCCTGACGAGGTGATTCCAGGATAAGCCAGATGTAGTAGGCTCGGCCTGCAGGGAGCACCCTCAGGGCCTGTCTGAGCTTCAGTTTCTCCATGGTTACACATTCCCACCCAGGGATGCGGGGCCCCTAGACCAAAGAGTACTGAGCACCTGCCATGTGCCAGGCACTGTGCCCGCGTCCCCTCTCATTCCTTCCGGTTTGCTTTCTGCCTCTGGCCCCATCCTCCAGTGACATTCAGGTTCCTGAATCTTGGGGTTTGCCAGGGTGTAGCTTTGCCCCCATCCCCATCCTGACCTTGCTTTGTGGACCTCAGGCCTGGCTTCCCTCCTTCTCAGAAGTAGCGTCTGCTCAAGACCCACGGGGGCAGGTGATCTCTCCTCGCCCTTTGCCAGGGAGTTGGACACCCCCCCCCCCCCCCCCCCCCCCCCCCCCCTCCGCTCAGTGAGCGAGAGTGTATGAGTTTGTTGTGCAGGGAGGCTTCTGTGTTCTGCCTCTTTCTGGCCAGTCCCTGAGTCAGGATCTTGCAGGGGGTGGTCAAGAGAGAGCAGAGGGCTGTCAGTCATTCCCCGGTTGGCTTCTCAAGACCGAGATTTTAAAATGTTCCGGAAAGGGACTGTAAGCAGCCAAAGGGCCTCTTCTGTTTCTCTCATTGCACTAGGCTTGTTTTGGGGTTAGGCAGCAGAGAGAACCCAGGCTAGATCACAGCCAGCCTGCTGGGCCGTGATGGACCCCCCCGCAAACGTACCCTTAAACACGTGCCTGCTGCGGATCCAGACACATACGCTTTCTCCTGGTGTGGGGCTGGGGAGAGATGCCAGGGAGTCAGACTGAATAGGTTGCATCTGTGTCGTACTTCCAGGCACAGCCGCCCAGGCACTGCCATGGCAAGGGGGAGGTGCGCCTTTCCGCTTTTGCACAATGGCTCGTGGTACCAGAACCACTGTTCCTCAGATTCTTTCGTGAAACGTCTGGGTGGGTGGAGTGCGCCTGCTCCCTTGGGTTAGAGGAATATTTACGCCCTCGATTATTTGTTTCGTAAACCACATTTTCCGAAAGTGGGGCTCATCTGTCCGCATGCACGGACCTGCCCCTTTTCCTCCATGCAAATAGTGTGGGAGTGTGGAGGTCGGAGGTGGGGTCGGGGTGGGAAGAAATGTGCCCGCGCCCTCCTCCTTGGGGGCCACGAATCCGTGCAGGCCGCACACCCGAGGCAGAGTTGCAGACCAGGGGAACCAGGTTTGAGGATATCAAGTGTGGAGATGGACATGGGCGCTCAGATGCCCCCTCCCCCTCTTCACTGACTACAGATTTCGGGGTCCATCCTTCACAGTTTCCTTGAGCTGTGTGATGCGGGGCTGAGGAGGCTGGAGATGGCCCCGGCACTGGAGAACAACTTGACTGTGGTCCTGCTCCTTCCCTCGGGTCTCAGAGTGTGGGGTCTGGGTGCTCAAAACGTCTCTGGATTCTGCCAGACTGTGTCGAATCCCGGCTGCTCTTGGGGATGGGGCATCGGTGGGCAAATCTAGGACTGGGGTCTGGGGCTTTCCCACTTCCCTCTTTCCTGCCTCTGATTGGGAAAAATGGGATCAGACGTGTCAGGAAGTAGGTGTAGCACCAGGAGTGGGAGTGAGAGGCGGGGCGGGTGTGTGATGTGTGTTTGGGATGGGGAGGCAGGCTCAAAGGGGCAGCCACAGTGGCCAAATGCAGTCTCTTCCCCCCCACCCCCACCACGACTCATTCCCAAAGCCTTAAATCCAGAGATGTCAGGGCTTCAAGGAACCTCAGAGATCACTTGGTTTCTGAACGAACCTGTTTTATAGATGAGGAAACTGAGGCCCAGTGTCTCTATGCCTTACCCAACTTGGCAGAATTATTTCTCTTTATGTATTGCCATCAGGGACTGGTACCAGCTTTGATTTTGCATCTTGCAGTCTGAGGGCTGGTAAGTCCCTCTTCATGTCTGGCCTTGATCCTTCTGGCTGCTTGTGTTTTTCCTCTGGTCAAACAATGCTTCCTTGTTGCTTCCTATCCCCACCATTTCAGCCCCTCAGGCCTGGGGGACTGGTAAGAAACTGGGTTAGAAAGGAGCCCTCCCCGCCTGCCCACGGGCAGTGTTCCCAGCAGGAGAATCAGCAGCTCCTTCCAGAGGCAGGATGTAGGGGCTATTTTTTTTTTTCCTTTGGTAAAACCAAAGGCTCCTTGTTGCTTTTGTTGATGTATTTTTGTTCCTCCTTGAACAAAAAGCTGTGGTTTTTGAAGGGGTCCAAGGCTGGAAGGGGCAAGGTTGCTTATAGAAAGGGGGTGCTGAGCTTTCGGGATCTCTGGTCTATTCTGGCTCAGCCTCTGGAATGCAGCTAATGGCAGGAGCAGGAGTGGGGCTGTGCCTTATATGCTGTCCCTGTCACCAGTATGTCTGTAGCAGGAGCCTCGATATCCTCCCTGTCCTCAGAGTCCTGAGCAGGAAGGTAACTCAGAGGTCCTTAGTCAGAGGACCCTTCTCCTGCATCCCTGCGCATCACTGTCTGCACTCTTGAGACACCTGCTTTGGAAAAGTTTTAATTAAAGGAGGAGGTGGCTTCTGACTGAGACCCCACAGGGTCTCTCTTGACGCCCTAACTTGGCAACTGGTTGGGTTTGAAAGATAAAGTACTTTGTTCTTCACCCACCCCGCTAAGCACATCTTTCATTTCCCCAGGGCTCTGAGAGCTGGGGGTGGACTGGGTCCATCAGAGAGAGAGAGAGAGAGAGAGAGAGAGATGGCAGCCTCCCCCTAGATGGCCGGGCAGCTGTGGTGGAGGGGAGTGCGCTGGGCAAGGTCTTTGTCCTAGACGCTGAGCAGCAGTTTCTTTTTCTGTAAAACAGGCACAATGATAACGCCTGCCTTTTCTAACCCAAAGCCTTGTGGCAAATCTCAAGAGACAATGTGCCTCAAGTCTATCAAGAAGTCACTCGGTATGCCTGTAAGTTCTCCCGGAGGTCTAGGCTGCTGCCCACTGCTGCCTGATTACCCTCCTGGTCCCTGTTCTTGCCCTCATGGATGCTAGGTCCCTTTCCCTGCGCCTACCCCCCCCCCCCCCCCATCCCCGGCTTCCCGTCCTAGTGAACTTGGACTGTGTCCATGCCTCTCTCTTCCCCAGAGCAGCTGATGCTGCTGTCAAGGGTGGGGAGGGGCATCGGCAGAGGGCCCACTGCCTGGAATAGTTAACAAGGGGCTGGGTGCAGGCTGGCCCACAGACGGGACAAAGAGCAGCTGTGCTCTGCACCAAGCTCCAGGTAGGGTTGGGACACCCAGCTCTTCCCTCATTCCCTCAACCGTGATACAATCTGTTGGCGAGGCTGGGGTTCCGTTAGGGTCACTAGCTGGGGTGGGAGCCCCTCGTCTGCCTCAGCACCCACATTGGCACACACACACATCCATTCATCCCAACTGGGATCTGAGGGTAGCGGGTGCTGGTGGGGGGTGGGTAGCTTCAACCTGAGAACAGAGAGGGAGGGAAAAGGTAGAATTCCCAGCAATTGTTTCTGGAAGGAGGTCAAATCAGTTGCAGCCCTCTTGGAAGGCAGTCATGTTGGTGGGGGAAGGGCACAGCACCGATGTTTGTGCGTCCTTCCTTCTGAAACGCACCCGTGGCACCTGTCTTCCTCACCGACATTGTCTATAAGGATCCTGCGTTCACGGCCTCCTGGTTTTGGCCCTCATGAGCTACTCCGCAGCTGAGGACACCCTTGCTGTCTGCGCCTCTTCCCCCACCCCCACAGACTCTCTCTGTCTTCCTGCTCTGCCGCTCTCCTGCCTGGAGCTGAGGATGGGGTTGCCATGGGAACCTGAAGCGCAGTGAGCAGGGGAAGGGAAAGACAGGGTTGTCTCGCCAGGGCTGGGGGCTGTGGGGAGGGGACAGGGTTGACCCAGTAGGAGGAATAGATGTCTGCCTGCCTTCTTCTGGCTTAGGGTTGGGGCTCCGGGGAGCAGGGTAAGAGATTGGAGGTTCTGGAGCTCCTCTTTAATCTAGTTAATCTAATGCAGGATTAAAGTCTCCCCCACGTCCCCCCTTCCTGCCAGATTAAGCTGTATGAACATCTAGGCTGGTCTCCCCTCCCTTCTGATGCGATTGGTGCTCTGACTGTTGGGGGCTAAAACCTGGGGGTCGTGGTGTCTCCAAAGAGAGGGTGATGAATACCCGACAATCCCGTCCAGAGGCACTCGCTGCCTGTTGGGAGGGTCTCCTGATGCCCTTCTGGTGGCCTGTCGGAGATGTGTGAATGTGGCCTGGAATGTGGGCTGTTATGCGTGGATCTTCTGGCTCCAGTGTCTACGGGACGTGCATCACTGCAGGGGGCCCATCTATGTATTCATCGTGTGTGAGGAACAACACAGCGTGTATGCTGTAGGAGCCTCAGAACTGCAGTGGGGGGGTGGGCGGTGCATGTCAGGTGCACGTGTCTGGCTGTCCTTGGGCCACTGGAACAGGAGCTCCATTTTAACCTTGTACATTCAGGGGGTGCCTGAGTGGCTCTGTCCTTTAAGTGGCTTTTTTAAAAACATTTTTTTTTAACGTTTATTATTAAGAGACAGAGAGAGACACTTTTTAATCTTTTTTAACGTTTATTATTGTTTAAGAGACAGAGAGAGATGCAGCATGAACGAGGGAGGGGCAGAGAGAGAGACAGACAGAATCTGAAGCAGGCTTCAGGCTCTGAGCTGTCACCATAGAGCCCGATGCGGGGCTTGAACCCGTGAACTGTGAGGTCTTGATCTGAGTTGAAGTCAGACGCTTAACCACCTGAGCCACCCACGCGGTGCCCCAAGCGGCAGACTCTTGATTTCAGTTCAGGTCACGATCTTGTGGTTTGTGAGATTGAGCCCCACGTCGGGTTCCATGCTGACAGTGCACCTGCTTCTGATTCTCTCTCTCCCTCCCCCCACTGGCACTTGCTCTCTCTCAAAATAAATCAATAAACTTAAAAAAAAAATTTTTTTTTAATTAACCTTGTACATGTAGGCAAATTAGAAACCCCAGGTTTGCAGATTCGCTCCAGAGCACATGTGTTTGCTGAGCCTGCCAGCCTTCCCCCCCCAGATGCTAAGCAGTGCTATCTCAGAATTGACCTTTCAAGTTCTGGGCCACAGCTGCTGGGATGTCTTCCTCATGGTGCCCTTGCTTCATGACCTCACCTCTCTCTGCCACAGGATTCTCTACCTGGAGATGTTCTCCTCACCATACCCTGCACCCCGTGACACCTTCAGAAGGGCTCTGATCTGGTGGGAGGGTCATCTCTGAAGCCTTCCTTGCCAGGACCTCAGGGTTAGCTAGTTCCGCTGGAGATCTTACTTGGATCCCTCCTGCTGTCATCTTTCTAGTCTCTAGGAACAGACTCCTGGTTGATCCTCCCTTTTTCTGGAACTGCTAAGCAATTTTGAATGGAGCTCCTCAGCTGTGGGTGGCCCTAGCTTCCTGCAGCTGGGCCAGGCCTGGGGACCGGGCCCGTAGCCTTAGCCCCATAGTCATCCACGGGCCATTTCTGTTGCCAGCTGCAGGCACCTGTGTTTGCTTTTCAGTCTCATCCCTCCCTCCCTCCGCGGGGGGAGCTGAGGGCCTGAAGTGACCTGGGAGCCAGGACCCAGGTGTGGCAGTGGAGGCTGGGGTGGGGGTGGGGGGACAGAGCTGGAATCACCTAGGTCCAGGACAGTGAAACCAGCCCAGAAGCAAAAAGGATTTGCCAAAGTCACCCAGAGAGTCAGTGGCAGGACCAGAGTCCAGCACTGTGTCCATTCTGGTCACACACTCCTCCTCACCTTGGTTTAGTTGTGCAAATCCAAAGTCCTACCCTTCACAAGTGGTGGCTCACAGGGAAGTTATGTGTTTATAGGTAGCACTGGCTCAGGGTGGTGCCAGCAAGAACCTCCCAGCTCTGGGGAGCACACAGGAGTGAGGGGGGGGGCGCTCATTTCCGGCTCTAGGGCGCATGTCAGCCCGCTGGGATGAAACATGCCTGGAAGGAAGCAATCCGTCTCTTACCTGAGGACAGTGTGTGAATCGGAGATCTGCAGGTGGTCACAGTCATGGTGAGGTGAGGTCACCCAGGGCTGCAAAATAGCCAGACCTCAGCTCCCTTTCAGAGAAGCCACTCACTAGTCCCTGAAATAGTTGGGACCCATGTGGCCCCCTAGCCATTTTACATACCAGCACATACCCACAAGCCACAGTGATTCAGTGCTACGTCTCCTCTAGCTGGTTTGCTGGGGGACTTCGTGATGACCCAGTGGGATGTAGGAGATCCAAGTTCTAGTCTTGGTCCAGCTTCAGTGCCTGATGTGACTTTCATGTATCCAACAAATGTTCGTTGAATACCAGGTACTGTTCTAAGGAGTTTGAGGTTAATCAGTGGACAGAAGAGACCAAAAACACCTCGTTTCCTGGAGAAGTAGAGAGAGGACAATAAACCGATGTGATAAAGAAGTTAATTATGATAACAGATAAGTATTAAGTGCGTGGTCCCAGCACGCTATTTCCTCCTCTGGGAAATGAGGAGGTATGACTGCATGATCCTGGAGGTCACTACAGGCTTGGCTTTGAGGGCTGCCCTGGTTCCAGCTACCTCCAAGCCAGCCGTCTTTCTGGGGAACAGGCTCCTGGTCTGTTCCGTGTCTGCCAATTGGAGGGTTTGGCTCAGGATCCTGGGCCCTGGGCAGGCTGGGTGCAAATTTAGATGCTACCACTTACTGGCTGTGTGCCTTGGCCACATTGTTCGACCTCTCTGAGCCTCAGTTCTCCCTTCTGTCAAAGTGGGAAAGTAGGGCATTTGTGAGGATTTGGTGAACTAAGTAAGGCACGAGGAGAACATCAGCCTTTGTTACGGCGTTAATCTGGCACTTGAGGGCCTCAAGCTGACTTTCTGAGTCCAGCTGATTTCTCACCTCCAGTTAAGTTAGCCCTTGTTGGCCCTTTGAAACACCACTCTGGATGTGTGCATTTTCTCTCTTTCACCACCTCCCCCAGGAAGCCCCCCCCCCCCGATATGTATGTCCCATTCTCCTTTACTTCTTCTTTTTTCTTGGTTCATTTTTTAATCATCTGTGTTTCGTCATGGTTGGTAGTTGCTCCTTAGTCCCCATCACCTATTTTACCCATCCCCCCACCCACCTCCCCTCTGGTAACCATCGGTGATGTGCTGGCCAGTTAAGTCTGTTTCCCCGGTTCTCTCTCTCTCTCTGTCTCTCTCTTTTCCTTCTTTGCTCGTTAAATTTGTTTCCGTTTCAACTTTTGCTTCTGTCTCTCCTGCTCCCCCCGCCCTTCTTCTGCTTGGTCCCCATTTCTGGTTTTAACTGAAAGCTTTGTCCTGACCTCTGCTCTATCGTCTCCCCAGTCTAGTTGGGCCGTCCTGGGTGGCCCAGGCCACTCAACCTCCCTGCACACGAGATTCTAAGGCGTGGATTATCCCCAAATAAGGGCCATCCGAAACCCTCAGACACTGTCCCTAGGGCCTCCCTTTGGCTCAGAACAGTTCTCCATGGCCGGCCAGCTACTCGGGCCTGATGTTGTCTTCCCAGTTCCGCCCCGGCTAAATCTGAGAAGCGCTTGCCTCCCCTCAGGCCAGGGTGATGCACATCGTGCTTGTGCTGCTGGGGCAGGGACAGGGGCTGCTGGCGGAGAAGAGGAAGTTTCCAGGAGAGTCATGTCTCTGAGAAACCAGGAGGCTCCTGCCCCTTCTCCAGAGTGACCTCTACTCTGTTTTCTCTCTGTCCTGCAGACACTACCCCAAGCAGTCCTTCACCATGGTGGCTGACACCCCGGAAAACCTCCGCCTCAAGCAACAGAGCGAGCTCCAGAGTCAGGTGAGGGGGCGGGGCTGGCCCTGCGGCCTGACCGGGAGGGAGGGCTGTTGTAACCCTTGGATTTGGCAAGGGCTCCTTCCCCCTGTGGTTACGAAGCAAGGCCAGGGTGCTGAAATCCTGGTACTTGCCTTGTCTCCCTGCCCCCACCCGGGCACCAGTTGCTTCTTATTTCCTGCCTTTATCAAAGGAGTGGAGGAAGGCATGCCCCCTCCCCTTTCTACCTAAAGCCTGCTGGGGAGGTATCGGTATCTGATTCTTTCTGCTCCAGGAACTATGGTGTGGCCTCTAAAGCCCACTTCCTCCAGGAAGCTGTTTCCTTCTCCCTCCTCTCCACTCACAACCCAACCCACCCCCCCCCCCCCCCCCCCACCCCCCAAAGGAGGGGACTCACTTCTCCAGGCTGGTGCCAGCCTGAGGTCAGTCGGCTCTTTATGGCCATGTCTCTGAACCTCCTCCACCCCTCAGAGGGCCGCTGGGAAGGGGGCCTCGCCCTGGGGGCCTGTCCTACCTTTGTCTCCTTGGGCCTGATTTTCTTGAGCACTTGCTTTGTGGGGAGTGGTGCGTGCCACTGGGGGGAGGGGGAGAGGGGGGAGATGGATTGGTGCCCCAGGGAGAACTCGGTCTTTAGGGGACACTGAGGAATAAGCAAAGGGTCCAGATCCCTGAGATCTGAACAGGTCACTCTCCCTAGTGGTCTGGGAGGGCTCCTGGGACAAACCTAGGCTGGACTGTGAAGAGGGGGGCAGGGCAGGGCGGGGCTTCTGCAGAGACCCCCTGAGGGACTTAGCCAAGTGGGCAGGGTGCCTAAGGCCAGGAACATGTTGGGAGGTCCCCCTGGGCCACAGAGAGGGATCTCTCCTGATCCCTCCGGAGTGGGGCTCCTGCTGTCTGATGTTAACATGACCTCTCTGGGGCCCTGTCTCCTAGTAGGTCGCGTGGAGGAGGACCAGCCCTGTGCTGCCTGGGGCTGTGGGCGCACTCTCTCCCTGACTCCTCCCGGCAGCTGTGAGGAAGGTGCTGTGTTTTTCCCGTGGTGCAAGATGAGGAAACAGAGGCCCAGAGATATTAGGGGGCTTGCTAAGATCAGACAGTGGTAGTAGGGGTAATAACACTGTGAACCACTAACTTGTTGAGCCTCTGATGCCTGGGCATTGAAGCTCCCTTGGTTCTCAGCCTGTGCGGCTGGCAAGGTCGCTTCTAAGGTCACTTCTACTTTAGGAAGAGGGAAGGGATGCTGCTGACTTTGAAGGCCGGTTTATCTAATTCTGAGACTTGTGCTCTTTCCCGTTTTCCACCCAGCTCCCTAAGGAACACTGTCTCCACTTTGATACTAAACACGATAGTTCCTCGTGCTGCTGGGAACATTTATAGTTTAGCAAGTGCTTTTAGTTACTTTGCCTCATGGATCCTTGACCCCACTCTGGGGGATATCAGATGAGGGAACTGAGGCTTTGCCTGTTGACACGCCCAGTAAATGAAGTTGCAGGATCTGGCCTCTGGTTTTTCCACTCCCAAGTACAGTGACCTTGACCATGTACAGCCCTGGTGAGGCCTGAGGCTCAGGCCTCCCCTGTTTCCCACAGCAGCTGGGAGCAAGTAGGGGAAGCTGGTTTTTCCCTCAGCAGCAGCTTACATCTGCCAGCCCAGAGGCGGACCCTGCTTGGCGTGAAACCTGTAGTTAAGGGGGAGCCGGTATGGATACCAGACCCCTGCCAGCTGAGGAGGTCAGGGTGGTCCAGCTGGCAGGGAGAGGGGCTGAGGCAGCTCTGGGGCCTGGGCCTAGTCTACACAGGGAAGATTTTGGCCAGACCCTCCTTGGTCAGCCGCGTACTACCGCCCTGGCCTCCCAATCCAGTAGAAGGCCCCCTGGGGCCAGAGGTGGAGGGGGCTTCGGGGGGTGGGAAGGCCACAGCATCCAGGGCGACCCGGACTCCCCCCCACAGCTTGAGAGGGACGGTCAGATCCCCAGTTGGTGGGGGTCCCATCAGAGGAACCTGGAAGAAGAGGTATGGGGAGGGGACATTAGGTCTTTGGAAAGTTGTGGGTCCAGAGGTGTGAGAGTATGTGCACACACTCAGGCAGAGGCCAGGGCAGACACACACACACACACACACAGACACACACACACACCCCTACTCTCAGGAGGAGAAATTCAAACCCTATTAATTCCCTCAGCCTTTGTCAGTCCCACAAAAGCACGGCTGTAGCTCTTTTTGCCCCTGGAACCAGATCCCTGAGGGGCGGGGTCTGTAGGAGGAAGCGCCCGGTGCTCAGGCTCCAAAGGTTCCTCTGCCTTTGCTCCCTGCTCCCCAGGGGCCTGGCCTGCTGCTCACCTCTTGGGCTCCCGGGCTCCTCCTGTCTCTCGGGCAGGCTGAGGACCTTGTGAGAATGGCGGCCATTCTCCATGCGGTCCTCGCTGAGGGCCAGGCCCTGACCTCATTTAATCCTTATGACCACCTGATGAAAGAGAGATTGTTTTGTCCCCATTCTACAGATGGGGACACAGGTTTAGAGAGGCTAGGCCCCTTGCCCAGAGCCCAGTGACAGAAGCAGATTTCAGACCCCTTGCTCTTACCAATTCTGTAGTCTGACGTGGTGCCCAGCCTGGTACTCTTGACCCACAGGATGCCGTTACCAGTGGTGGGGGACAGAGAGAGAGAGAGAGAGAGAGAGAGAGAGAGAGAGAGAGTGTACACACATGCACACACACACACACACACACAGACACGTGCGTGCATGTGCGTACTGGAATACAGATTCCTAGGCCCTACCCAAGAGGTTTCTGGTTGGTAGTTCTGGGCAGGGCCCAGGAATCTGCGTTTTGACTGCCCTGGTGATTCTCCTGAGCCTTTTGGACATACTCAGAGCCTTAGAGCTGGGCTGGGGGGCAGGCAGGGAGTGGGTGGAACTGACCCCAGCTCTCCCCTTGCTTCTGCCGCGTGGGGTGTGAGTCACGGAGTCGGGGCTCTGGACTGGGGTAGGTGGCGGGTGGGGGTAGGGCCCCTGCCTTCTTTGCAAGCCTGGTTCTGTCTTCCTTCTACCTCGCCCCCAGCTCTGTGGTCTGAGCCTGGCCGCTTTTCTCTCATAGCTTTTTTTCCCCTCCCTGGTAAAATGGGGACAGCAAAGCCCAGTCGCCTGGAGGTCTGGGGCTGGCCGATGCACTGGGTTTGGAAGGGATGAGTGGGCCTGGCCGGGGGTGGTGACAGGTTCTGGCTCCTGTGGCTGCTGTGGGGGCAGGGCCTGCTAGAGCAGCCTGTGGCTGGCAGGAGGGGAAGTGGGAGCCTCCTCTGCCTACCCTGCCCCACCCCACCAGGGTGTCAGTTGGTCTCTTTCCAGGGCCCCTTCCTGGCCTGGGTGCGTGTGTCTCAGCCCTCTCCTCTGGAAGCCGCTGGTGCTATTTCAACTTTATTTGTTTTCCTGTCTCCAGTTTGGTTCTCAAAGTGGTACTTTGGGTGTCTGGGACACCTGGAGCCTCCCTTGTGGAGGAGGTAACCACAGAACTGACCAGAAATGACCTTCTGGGTGGTCCTGCCCGGGCCTGGCTGAAGCAGGGAATGGGAGACTGGGGCCCAGCTGTATCCCCTACCCGAGGTAGCTCTCCCACCTCCAGCCCCCAGGCTGAGCAGAGAGGCGACATCTTTGGGGTGGGGCTGAGCTGGGGGGTGTCTGTGTGGCCCTCTGAGGCCCTGCAGAAGTGCAAAGAGAATGCCTCTTTCATTTTTTCCCCCATCTCACACCCCCGTGGTGCTGGGCAGTCCCAGCACAGAGTGAGAAATGCCCTGAGGCACAGGAGAGTGTGGTCTGTGACCAGCACAGGAGGCAGCATACTGGTGTCACTCTAATGTTTAGAGATTTATTTTAGAGAGAGAGAGAGAGAGAGAGAGAGAGAGAGAAAGAAAGACACAGAATCTGAAGCAGGGTCCAGATTCCAAGCTGGAAGCGCAGAACCTGATGTGGGGCTCGAACTCAAAAACCTTGAGATCGTGACCTGAGCCAAAGTCGGACGCTTAAGCGGCTGAGCCACCCGGGCGCCCCACTTCTGTCACTCTTACCTAAACCAGCTGAAGGTCAAATCCTGGGTCTGCCACCACTAGCTGTGTGACCCTGGGCAAGTTATTTCACCTTCCTGAGTGAGCCTCAGTGTCTTCTTCTGTAAAATGGGGCTTACCTTTCTCCAAAGGTTATTGTGAGGATATTAGTATATATCGGGCATTTAGAACAGTTCCTGGCATAGAGTCAGCACTCAATAAATGTTCACTATTAACTATTCTCCTGGAAAGGAGAGGAAATGGAGCCTGGGCACAATGAAGCTGGGGAGTAGACACAATGACCTTTTCATGAATGCTTCCAGCACTGACTTTTCCATTAGTTCTCCTCCCCATCTGTGTCTGTCTAATTTTAAAACTGATTTCTTTTCTGTTAGAAGGGGGTGGGTTACATCGTATGGGCGCCCAGCACATAGTAGGCACATAGTCGGTGGAAATTGTTGGTATTGTATTTTTTTTCCAGAAAACAATTTTTTTTTTTTTTTTAAGTCACGATCTTTTATGTTACGTCAGCAACGCAGTTATGTTCTAAATTATGCTGTTGGGAGATTTTGTGTTTGTTCAGTTCAGTCACCACTCACGTGACAAACACTTATATTTGTACCTCCTTTGCTCGGGCATCAGATCTGGCCCCGCCTTGGGAATTTCCAGGATGGGAGGCCCAGGCAGTTCCTAGGCATGGAGTCATCCGCCCACAGTGCTGAGTTGCACCCCGACCCTACCAACAACTAGGCTGAATGACCTTGGGCAGGTCCCTTCCCTCCAAGACCCCCATCACGTCCTGGCGAGCCATCCCAGATGAGGGCAAACACTCCTGCTTGGGTGACAAGGAAACCCGGACAGAGGGGCTCTAGGCAGCGGGGCCCTCCCCGCACTCCTGGCTCTCGCCCTTTTTTCCTGTGCACCTACTCCAGCACCAAAAGGCCTCTCAGAGAATGTTTCTCACCTTGATTCTTCATAATTAAGGCCTGCAGGTACATAAAAATGGTCACAAACTCCAGAGCTGGGTGGGCTCTTAGAGATCAGCTGGCCGGCCCCCGGCTCAGGGGATTCCAGAGAGGGAGACTGACTTACCTAGTGACATAAGCAAAGAGGTGCCGAGCCCAGACCTCCCTCCATCCTTTCTCAGCCCCCATTCCACCCCAGCCCCGCCCTATCTGGCTGCCTGTGCCAGGAGTGAAATGAATTCTCCTTCCCCGGCAGGGAGGGAGAGGCAGTTCCTGAGCTTGGGAACTAGCTGATGTCATTGTAGTGTCGCCATGGCAATTATTCCCCTGGATTAGGGGCCTGACCCTTACAAGGCCAGGAAGTGGAGGAGAGAATGGGGGTCTGGCACTTGTTCAGCACTTTGAACGTTGACAGAGCACTTCCACGCTTGCCCTCTCAGTGGGTATTGAGCCCTGCCTTGCTTCAGGATGCTTCAGGATGCAGTTGCTGTGTGAGGGCCACTGTCTGTAGTCTGTACCATTGATTAGAATGAGTGGTACTATCCCCATTTTACAGATTGGAAACGGAGGCTCAAGAGGTTAAGTCATTTGCCCGAGATCACTTAGCAAGTGGGAGACTGCGCCCGTGTTAGAACCAGCTCCCTCTGGCTCTTTGCCCATGCTCGGTGACGGGAAGCCCCCCTCTCCATATTTTAACTGATTCCTGTGACAACCCTTTTACAGATGAGGAAACCGAGGCCAGAGACCTTGGATTTGGGGCTTCTGCATCTGGAGCTGTAATTTTCTGGCTCTAATGCTTTCCCCTCCCTAATGCCCCTTTCCCAAAGGGTCCCTCTACCTCCAACACAAAAAGTTGCCCTGCTGCTCCAGGTCTGCCTGGAAGAGGTGACGCTGGAGGCAGTTCTGGGCCCTTGGGGTGGGTCAGTACTTGTATTTACTGCATTAACTTCCGGTCTGATGGGAACTAGCACATCCAGGCCTTTGATTTTAGTCTGGATCAGAACGAAGGAGCTTCTGAAACCTTTTTAGGATGAAGAACCCCATGGATGGGTAAGCTGGGCTCCAGACAGTGGACAAGGACCTCTGACCCCTGGGGGTTGTGCAGAGGAACTGACAGGTGTGGCCACAGATTTATACGTGTGTGCTGTCGGTCGGGTCAGGGTGCAGCTCAGCCCTGTGGCCAGATGTCTCCATGCCTGGGAGCTGCCCGGACGTCCCATCCTGGAAACTCCCGAGGTCCTGGGCCTCGTGTCCTGAGCTGACCTGCTTCTAGGACAGTGGAGCAGCCCCCATGGAGGAAATCCAGGCAGCTGGTGGGGTTGGAACAGCTGGCTTCTGAGGGGGACAGTGAAGCCTCTGGAAGCCGAACGGTTCTCTGTCCCATGGGCATTCCCAGCCTCCATTCTGTGCTTCAAACCCCCCAGGAGAAAACAAGATATTTTTCATATTTCAATTCTGTTAGTGTTCAGGAAGTCCTTTCGTACGTCCGACTTGAGTCCCTCTATACTTGAATTTCTGTGGATTTCTCAGAAGAAGAAGGCAGTGCTGGGGTGGTAGGAACCCTGTTGTGAAGTCCTGTCTGTCCCCTGCCAATTTCATCCCCTCATGTGGCATTGACCTTAGAAGCGGGCCTGGCAGTCTCCAGGAAGCCGCCAGGCCTGTCAAAGACGCATTGATGGAGTCTTCGAGTGGCTGTCTCACTGCCCTTCTCTCTGGGTGCTAGCTCTGTCCCTTGGCACAGCCTTCATTCGGCTGGTCGCTTAAACACTCCTCCGGGCTCTCAGTGGGTAGGGCCACATCCTGGCCGGGGCTGTCTTTGGAGCTCTGGAAAGAACCTTCTTCCTATAGCTTGCGGGCAGGATAGGCTAGCGGTGAAGGGTCAGGAGTCCGGCAGATGAGAGTTTGCACCATGGTGGCTCTGGACATTTATTGCCAAGCTGTGTGACCTTGGCAGGGGACTTTGCCTAGCTCTGGCTCAGTTTCTTTATCTGTAAGATGGAGCCAATAATAGAACACGGTAAGACTCACATGAGAGAATTCACGTAAAGCACTTGGTGCTCGGAATGCCCTGAATACGTGTTAACGGGTTATTGTTAGCGGCCTAACACTTCTTGGCTAAGGCTTCTGCTCTGCGTTTGGGGGTGGGTGATAGATGTCGCTGCAGGGGGATTTCTGGTCGGGATCTCTCTCCTGGCCGGTCGCCGCCTCAAAGGTGGCCACAGGCTGGGGCCCTCTCTGCTGCCCCTGCCTTCACTCGGATCCCTTTCCCCTCCTTGGTCCTCCAGGTGCGCTACAAGGAGGAGTTTGAGAAGAACAAGGGCAAAGGCTTCAGTGTGGTTGCAGATACACCGGAACTCCAGAGAATCAAGAAGACCCAGGACCAGATCAGTAACGTATGCTCCCCTGCCCGCCGCCTTGGAACCTGCACTGACCTGCTGCCCTCCCCGCTCCTCCCCTCCCTGCCGGCCTGGCAGGTGTGAACGAGGCCAGTTCGCCGCTGTTCCCCCGGCCCTTCTGGGTGTGCCTGGGTGGCAGCCGCTTGAGCAGAGGGAAGAAGGGGTGTGGGGTTCCCAGAGGCCTTTTTTCCTGTGCGCCCGTGTTCCCCTGTTCTGCCCTCTGCCCACAGAGCATGTCTGCCTTGAAAGCACCACACTTCAGGGGGTACGTGGACAGGATGGGCCTATGTGCTACATCACTCCCCACCCTCTCTGAAGTTTTTCCTTTGTTTCCTTTCCCCTCCTGGCTATGGTGGGTGTCAGGGTCCAGACTGACTGTTTTGTCTAAGCACAGAGGTCATAACTGGGTGGCAGGGGTGGGGAGGGGCCAGCCTCCCCCTCGTCTGTCTCTGGGTGCTGAAATTGCAGTCATTTCCGCCCTCCCTCCGCCTCCTCCCCCACCTCGGCCTGCTCTTCCTTCCTGTGTAAAAACCCCAGCTGGCTTTGCCGGCTGGCCCCGTACCCCCTGGCCTGGCCCTCCTGGGCTGGGGATGGTCAGCCGTGTGTGGCTGGGGCGGGACTGGGTATAGAGAGTGGGTGGTAGATCGATGGACCCATGGCACCTGTGGCCAGGGGACAGGCATTGGTTTCCTGCTTGGTAGAGCCGGCGGCCAGCAGCCAGCGCAGCCCTGCCTTTGTGGGGAGGCCGCCTGGGGGGTTTTGGGTATGTGGGGGCGGCGCGCTGCTTTGAGCCACAAGCACAGAACATGGGCTGCGGACCCGTGCACAGGGTCCCGGGGCACAGAGTTGCAGTGTGGGCCTGGCCAGCCTCGTCTGGGAGGTCCTACGAATGGACGCCTCGGCAAACAGTTGTCTTTATGTCTAGAACAGGGAGGGGTCAACAGGTTGCCCGGTGTCTCTCTGGGCTGAGGGCCTGGGTGCCAGGTGGTCCACCTGGCGCTCATCCCTGGGCTCCACAGGCCTCCCCCTTCCTCCGCCCGGCCTCCTTGATGGGGCTGTGCTGGCAAAGGGCTCCACAGCGGCTCAGGTGGATTTCAGAGCCAGAACCTACCCTGGGCGCACCCGTCACGCCCAAGCCCATGGCCTTCAAACTTTGCAACCTACGCTACGAAATACATTTCACATAGCGACGCCCCAAACGGGCACGCTTGTTTATTTGGAGAGAAAAGCAAGTCAAGACTTACGTGAAAGAATCCTTACTACTTGGAGAGCGTTCAGATATCTTCTGGTTTACTTTATTTTGTAAAGATGCTCGTTGCAGACTTAACCGAACGGGTAGCAGAGCGGGCTTTGCCACGAGGCTGTTGCCCTGCAGTTTGAAATTTGTGGTTTGAGGAAATGGAGCGCTTCCTTTGGGCTGGGAGGGCTCTAATCCACACCACCACCGCCGCCACCCCTCCCCTGGAATACACACATAAATAAAGCCTGTTTCAGTTGCTTCTTTATAAGCCAGGGCCTGGCCCCACACCCTAGAGCTTCCCTGCTGTTGCTGCCCAGACCGTCTGGAGGGTAAAGAGGGTTAAAGAAGGTCTATGCCTTCCAACTCTCCACATGGCAAGTGGGAGGGAGGGGGCAAAGCCTTGGGCAATGGGGAAAACCTGGAATGGCTCACAAAGCTGGCATCCTGACTCCCCAGCTTCTGTGGCTTTCCACTGCGAGGACACGTGCTGTCCTCCACAACCCCAGCTCCCCAGCACATCCCCTCATTGCTTCCAGCCTGTGGGTTTTAGAGGGCAGAAGACGAGCAAGCCCAGTCATCTCTGCCTCCCTCTCTGGAAGGCTTCCAGAGTATTCCCTACCCAGTCATTGGAGGTGTTAATATCTGAGGAGCCCTGGTAACAGAACTCACTGTGGCCAGGACACCTACACCTAAGGAGATAACTATCTTTTCGTTAACCACAGGGCTGCAATTAGCTGATTGTCCTCTGCTCTGAGTTGGGGGAGGTGACTTGAACCTGACCCGATTTCTGCTTTTGCAGCTTTAGCTGGGACCTCTGAGGTGTGACCACGAACCTGGAGGACGCTTGGTTTTGGTGAATGCAGTTAGAGTCTGTCAAGTGTGGGCCTCCAAATACCTATGCTACAATCACGTGGAAAGGCTTATTAAAAATGCAGACTTGGGGCGCCTGGGTAGCCCAGTCGGTTAAGTGTCCGACTCCGGCCCGGGTCATGATCTCACAGTTTGTGAGTTCAAGCCCCGCATCGGGCTCTCTGCTGTCAGTGCAGATCCCGCTTCCGGTCCTCTGTCTCCCTCTGTCTCTGCCCCGCCCCTGCTTGCACTCTGTCTCTCTCCCTTAAAGAATAAACATAAAAACAAAAACAGTGAAAAAACTTCACCAAGCCCTCGTCAGAGGGTGTCAGGCCTGGCCACCTCCCGAACTCTAAGGGAACTTGAAGCTATGCTTAGAGCCATTGTTCAATTGTCCCAACCTCCAGAAGAGTTTTGGGAAAAGCTGGTGTTTAGAGCCACACCTTTTGTTTTGTATCCAAAATAGCATCCTGTGTATAGTTTGTCACTCACTTCCCAGGTTAGCTGTTTCCAGGGAGGTCAGAGCATCTTGCAAAGAGATGAGATTTGCCTCCCTGGAGGAATATATGCTCCAGATTAGAGGATTTACGAGCAAGAGCATTTTGAAAAAGTGGCTGGTCTCCCCCGGTGGTGTTTCAACACTTTGGACGTGTGTGGTCTGTCATCCATCAGATCAGTGTTGTCAATGTTATTCTCATTTCTGTAAAGGCAGACCTGTCTCCTTTCCACCTTGTGGCTAAAGAAGAGGCAAAGAGGAAAGCTTGGTTGAAAAATTGGGCCGTTGTGGGTACTGAGAATGTGTGAAAACTTTTGAGGCAAGGTGCTAGTAAGTTATACTTCTGGGGTGATTGTGTCTTCATGAAAGGCATCAAAAGCGTTGAGAGGCCAGGGATGGCCTCTGGGATGCAGTGTATCCTTCTGGAATCCTGGCCTTTGGTCATGAGCTCTAATGGCTGTAAGGGACCGGGGAATTTTCGTCGTGGACACCCTTTTTCTGGAAGCCCCTGCCTAGTAGAGAAGCTCTGCTTTTATTTGCCTATGTCTCTACTTACATGATGATTTTCTGTATACAATTCTTTTCCTTCTTCTGTGAAATGTAACAACCCGGTAACACATGCCGTAAACACCTCTGTGTGTACTGATCAGTCAAGAAACAATATTACTGAACTCCTCTTACAAGTTTTCAAAGTGTTAAAAACATAATTCTCCTGCAGTGAGCACCTATCATATATTTCACTTAATTATGCTGGAGGGTAGGAAGGCAGAGGTGATGCCTCCTCGGTGAAAGAAAGTGCTGGATGCAGTTAGATGCAGAGCTGGTCCATGCCCTGCCAGTATCTGTAGAACTGGTTAATGTTCTACAGGACCATAAAACCATAAACTCTGGGAATATCTTTGCCAGGGGCAGAAATGCTTTGCCTTTCTATTAGTTAAAAATAATCAGCAGGGCTGGGCACCTGGGTGGCTCACTCAGTTAAGCATCCAGCTCTTGGTTTCGGCTCAGGTCAGGATCTCACAGTTCGTGGGGTCGAGCCCCACATCGGGCTCTGAGCTGACAGTGGGGAGAGCCTGCTTGCGGTTCTCTCTCCCTCTCTCTCTGCCCCTTCTCTGCTCGCTCGCTCTTTCTCTCAAGATAAATAAACATTTAAAAAAATAATAGCTGGCAGTGCATATTCTGTAAGTTAGCTTCAGTCTTTAGAATCTGGGCGTAATCAGCAGTAAATGGTGAAGTCAAACAAAAATTCCATCCCCAGGGTCAAGTGACCTGGAGGCAGGCTTGTGGGACAACCCTCTGGGGTAATTTTTGAAAACATGTGCTGTTCTTTTCTTTATAAGTTTAATATGGAACCATGCATTTCTTAAAATTTTTTTTTTTTCCAACGTTTATTTATTTTTGGGACAGAGAGAGACAGAGCATGAACGGGGGAGGGGCAGAGAGAGAGGGAGACACAGAATCAGAAACAGGCTCCAGGCTCTGAGCTGTCAGCCCAGAGCCCGACACGGGGCTTGAACTCACGGACCACGAGATCGTGACCTGGCTGAAGTCGGACGCTTAACCGACTGCGCCACCCAGGCGCCCCTGGAACCATGCATTTCTAAACACTATAGTTTTGGTTTTCCTGACTTTGAACATCTAGTAGGTATTCTTTTTGTGTCTTTCTTCCTTTGGTCGACAGGACCCGAAATTTCAAAGATTCAGGCACAGGGCGCCTGGGTGGCTCAGTCGGTTGAGCGTCTGACTTTGGCTCAGGTCACTATCTCATGGTTCGTGAGTTTGAGCCCCGCATCGGGCCCTCTGCTATCAGCACGGAACCTGCTTCAGATCCTCTGTCTCCCTCTCTCTGCCCCTCTCCCACTTGTGCACGCTTGCTCGCTGCCTCTCAAAAATAAGCAAAACACTAAAAAAAAAAATTCAGCTACGTATTCGCGTGTAGCTATAGCTCACTCTTTTTCATCGCTGGGTAGTGTTCCGTTTAATGCTTATACCGGCATTTGATTGATGCTGGTGTTTGTGTGGAGTGGAATTGCTGGGTCTTAGAGTTTACGACCCTTCACCTTACCAAGTAATGCTCGTCTATTTTTCAAGTAGCTGGACTGACTTACCCTCCCGCCAGCAGTGATGAGAGAGTCTCCACAGCTCCACGTCCTTAGACTTACTCATTTTAGCCATTTTGATTGTACATCATGGTATTTCACCGCGATTTTAACTTGCCTTTCTCTGGTAACTAATGAAGGTAAACGGATTTACATTTGTTTTACTTATTTATTTAAAAAAATTTTGTTTAATGTCTATGTATTTTTGAGAGACAGAGACAGAGCACGAGCAAGGGAAGGGCAGAGAGAGAGGGGGACACAGAATCTGAAGCAGGCTCCAGGCTCTGAGCTGTGAGTGCAGAGCCCAACGTGGGGCTTGAACCCATGAACCATGGGGTCGTGACCTGAGCCAAAGTCAGATGCTTAACTGACTGAGCCACCCAGGTGCCCCTATTTATTTATTTCATTTCATTTCATTTCATTTCATTTCATTTCATTTCATTTCATTTCATTTTATTTTAGAGAGAGACAGAGAGAGAGAGAGAGCACAGGCTGGGGAGAGGGAGAGAGAGAGAATCTCAAGCAGGCTCTATGCTCAGTACAGAGCCAGACGCGGGGCTCGATCCCACAACCCTGGGATCAGGACCTGAGCTGAAATCAAGAATCAGACGCTCAACCAACTGAGCCACCCAGGCATCCCAAAGATTTACGTTTGTTTTAAAAACAAAATGTTATTAGTCTGTAATCGGGAACAATATCGCACGGTAGTTGAGAAGCAAGGGTGTGATGTTAGAGCTGGATTCCGATAACCCACCAGTTACCCACCTCTGAGCGTCTGTTTCCCCACCTATAAAATGGGGGTGAGGGTGCTACATAGTTGTAGGGCTGGCTGAGAAAAGGAAATGAGTAATCCATGTAAGGGCACAAAACAGGCCCTCAGCAAGTGGGAGACGTTATAAAAAATGCACCCTGGCTGCTGAGTTGCTGATTCCATTCGGAGCCCATGTTCCCCTGTTGACCATGACGTAGAATCATGTGGCAGCATCGTGGGGAGTCAGACCTTGGTTTTCCACCAGCGTGAGGAGAGCAGGGGCTCAGAACACAGAACGTCGGCTAGCAGAGATAATGGGTTTCTGGAGCTTTGGAAGGGACCCCCAGCTGGTCATCCCAGAGTCCTGGCTAGCAGGGGCCTGGGCCCCTCAACCCACGTGCACTTGGATCTTCTGGGCACAGAACAGGGTGTCCTTCCACGGTGGCCCACAACAGTTCTTAAGCCGGGGATCTGCTGACAGCTCTGGGCTTGTGGTGGCCCTCCCTTCGGGGCTTTTAGAAGGTCAGAACTTTAGGGGCGTCTGGGTGGCTCAGTCGGTTAAGCGTCCGACTTCAGCTCAGGTCACGATCTCGCGGTCCGTGAGTTCGAGCCCCGCGTCAGGCTCTGGGCTGATGGCTCGGAGCCTGGAGCCTGTTTCCGATTCTGTGTCTCCTTCTCTCTCTGCCCCTCCCCCGTTCATGCTCTGTCTCTCTCTGTCCCAAAAAATAAATAAACGTTGAAAAAAAAAAAAATTAAAAAAAGGTCAGAACTTTGCCGCACGTGGAGCGGGGACCAGCCAGACCCCCAGAGTCTGGAAAATGTTTCTTTCCCTTTCGGATGTGCGAACACCCTTTAACCTGCCAATTTGCTTCTCCCATCATTCGGTGGGTTGGCAGAGCAATGACAGAAGTTTCTCACTTGCTGGGGGAACGGAGGGAGAGGAAGTGGGAAGTAGTGGCCCAGGTGGCCCAGACAGAGGGACTGTACCCTGCTTTTCTCAGGCCGCTTATCCCTGCCATGCTGCCTCTCCTTCCCTCAAAGTTAGGGGGACCTTGTGCTCGTCATCCCTGTCGCAAGGGAAAGGCGTGCTTACTCATAGTTATTCCAGAACAAGAAGACATGGCCTGGGACGAAGGGCAGACTTGGGCCTGTGGTCACCCTGCTCCATGCCTGCCCTCAGGAAAGGACCCGTGTAGCTGTGACTTTGTCCCTGTGTCCCTTTGTCCCTTATTGAGTAATGAAAGCTCTGTCTTGGGAAGGCATTTAACTTCTGAGCACATTTTTCCTCTTCTGTAAAATGGGAATTAAAGTGTACCTGCCCAGCTTCTCTTTTCAGGGGGACTATCCCCAGGGCCAAGGGAGATCATGTGCCGAGAGGCTTTTTAGGCACTCAGTGTGAATCGCTGAGCAGAGGCGAAGGTTATTAATATTAACAGTAGCAGGTGATATGTGCATGGGTGCTGGGGAGGGTTCCTTTGTGTTCGGGCTCGCCACGCCTCCATCCACCTGGGGCAGCTGGCCCTCATGTTATCAGTATTGACTCCTGTAGTGGCTGTGTCAGAAGCAAGGTCGATTCTACCAGCTACTTGTGGAAACACGCCCCCAGCACAGGCCTCTGTCCTCTTCCACACATTCACTTCCCCTTCCCTGGTCACTGGCTCCTGGGGTCAGGCGTCTTTTCCTTCACAGAAAGTAAACACAGGAAGCTGACCTTTCTAACCCCCCAGGACAAAAGTCGGAAGGGCAGTTGCCTTGCGTGCCTAAAGGCCTCAGGAGGGTTGGCCCCTCTCCTTATCCCCCTCCCCACCAGTGGACAGGGGTCACTGAGGGATTGGGGCTCGGGGACACTTGCCTTTTGCTCTTGTCTTAGGAATCCAAGAGCAGGGCACTGGCCCTGTGTCCGAGAACTTCACCCCTGGGTGCCCTTCTGGGTGGGAGTTGAGGGAACCCAGGGGTTTTCAGTCCGGCCAAGACTGGCTGCCTCCCCCTGAGGAATGGGCTCAGCCCATTTTGCCATTTGGGTGTGAGTCCCCCACCCCACCCCCCCGCCCTGGGGCATGACGGGAAGAGGCAGGGCTGGTCCTGACCCAGACCCCTAAGTGAGGCCCTGCTGCCTTTCCAGAGGACAGCCAGAAGGGACTGCCCCGGGCTGGGACAGCTCCTATCAGGCCTTGGGGCACAAAATCACTAGTTCCTTCTGCTCCAGATAACAGGGCAAGCTTTGCTCTCCTCCCTTCCTTGATAAGGAGGGAGGACCCTGCATTTCTTGTCCTGCAGCCTGGGATCCTCAACAGAGCCCGGTGAGGTCACGCCCACAGAGGCAGAATTACCTAACGCTGAAAAGCATAGGCCCTGGAGTCTGCGTGATCTTGAACAACTCAGGTCTGCGTGATCTTGAACAACTCAGCTCGTCAGTGCCTTGGTTTCCTTCTTGTGCGTTAACTGGGGACCGTCACATCCCCCCTCGTAGGTGCTGACAAGTTAAAACGAGCCCATGGTGCATCACCTGTAGCACAGAGCCTGGCGCCCGGCAGGTAGTCAGGGAACAGGAGTTGTCACCCTGCAGCAACACCGGAGGTAGACACCGATGCCCTCTCTTACAGAGGTGGAACCTGAGGCCCAGCAAGGTTAAGCAGCTTATCCAAGGGCACACAGCTGGCGTGCCTCCCGCAAGGACCTGGCTCTCTCTGCCTGTAGCCCTCGGGGAGTCTCTCCTCTCCTGGGAGATCTGAAGTGGCAGGGAGCTTTGGTTGGTTTGCTGTGAGTCCTTCACCCGGCACTTTCTCCCGCTGCAGATAAAATACCACGAGGAGTTTGAGAAGAGCCGCATGGGCCCCAGCGGGGGCGAAGGCCTGGAGCCTGAGCGCCGAGATTCCCAGGACAGCAGCTACCGGCGGCCCCAGGAGCAGCAGCAGCCGCCCCACCACATCCCCACCAGCGCCCCGGGTGAGCCTGAGGCCTGTGGGGCAGAGGACCTGCGACCGGGCCGGCTGTGGGATGGGGAGGAGGTCGGAGAGAAGCCTTGTCTCCGTGCACACACAGGCACCTGTTCACGCACACCCTCAGATCCATCCCACCAGGGGCATCGAGCACCGGCGTCAGGGTCTGTGCCGGCTCCCCAGCGTGTTGGTAGAGACACAGCCCCTGCTGTAGAATATGCAACACTGACACACAAGCCTTTGAGGAGTGGGGGCCGAGCCAGGTTGCGGGGGGTGGAAATGCACGATAGGGGCTTTGTGGGGGAAGGCAGGGGAATCCGGGAGGGACTGTGTTTGAGCCCCATCTCCCCCCGTCTTCCAGTTTACCAGCAGCCCCAGCAGCAGCAGGTGGGACAGTCTTATGGTGGCTACAAGGAGCCTGCAGCCCCGGTGTCCGTACCGCGCTGTGCCCCAGGCGGGGGCGGGGTGAGTAGCTCTGGCCAGAGGGAGAGGTCCTGGAGCTGGGAGGTTGGATGGGTCCCGGGGAAGCCTGAGGAGGCCAGAGGTGGATGGGCAGGTGGACATTGCTCAGAGATTCTCCTTAGAAACCCCACCCAGGAGGCCTGGCTTTCCCTGACCTTTGATCCCAGCTCCTGTCGTCATCTGCAGGCGATAGGGACCTCAGCCTCTGATCGAGGAAGTGTGCTTAGCGGACTCAGCCCTGGGCTGGGATTGGGGCCCTGCGTTCGAGCTCTGGGTGTACCTTGCGCAAGTTACCTCTCCCTGCCCAGGAGCATACAAAGTACCTTTCTGTTTGGGGCCTTCCAGACCTAGGCCACGCTCCCCACCCTTCATGAGGATGACCCACCCCCATGTCCTTCGGATCTCAGCTTGCCCCTGCCTCTGAGGGGCCCTCCCCAGCCCCCCATGTCAGGCAGGTCTCCCCTGACATCTCTATCACTCCCCCCCCGGTGCCCTTCAGAACACTTTTCCCAACTCAGAACCGTTCCGTGTGTTAACTTCTGTGTGCCTCCCCTGCTGAATGTGAAGCTCTGTGCGGGCAGGGCAGTGTTCCTTGGGCTCAGCTACCGTGAGCCAGGCCCAGAGCGGGCACTCATCGATGCTGCCAAGTAAACGACGAGTAAAGAGTAGGAAGTAGGGCAGGATCAGGCTTCCCGGTCCTTCGAGTCGAAGTGCCCTGTCTGTAAGTCCTGATCCTTATCCCATCGAGGGGGCTGCTGAGCCATTCATACCACCGAGCTCCTGGCTGAGCTCAGCCCCTCTGTGCTGGGTTCCTGGGAGTTCGAAGCAGCTCATGTTGGAGCAAGAGAGACAATACCTAGAGAGGTAAAATAGCCCTGAAATACATGTCCTGCTGGAGCCTTATGCCCTGGGTACGAGGCAGTAAACAAGGGAGTGTCCGTGCTGTGTAGGGTACCGGGCAGGACCGAGAATCCGTCTGTAGGATTAGATTCCAGATAGACCAGCCGGTCCTTCAAATACTTGCGAAACCTATCTCGGACATGAGGGATTTGGCCCTGACTAAAAGACCACGTTCCTGCAGTCTTGGTGCTCACGTTCCAGTCAGGGAGGCAAACGAGGCAGTAACATAAGAGGGCATATATATATATAAGGTCGGATGGTGGCACGTGTTGTGAAGAAAAAGACAGCAGGGTGGTGGGAAGGAAAGCAGCAAAGTCCTCAGGATGATGAAAGGGTGAAGGATTCAGGGAGAATAGCAACTGCAAAGGCCCTGGGGCCAGCAAGAAGGCCAAGGCGATTAGAGGAGAAGAGGGTAGGAGATAAGGTCAGATCATGCAGGGACTTGTAGGCCACAGGAAGGCCTTTGCAATTAGTGAGCTACACAGAGTGACAGGTTTTGGCTTATGTTTTTAATTTTTTTTTTTCTTTCACGTTTATTATCAAGAGACAGAGAGAGACAGAGCACGAGCAGGGGAGGGGGAGAGAGAGGGGGAAACAGAATCCGAGGCAGGCTCCAGGCTCTGAGCTGTCAGCACAGAGCCCAGCAAGGGGCTCGAACTCACAAACTGCGAGATCATGGCCTAAGCCGAAGTCGGATGCTCAACCGACAGAGCCACCCAGGCGCCCCTTGGTTTATGTTGTTAAAGGATCGCTCCGGCAGCTGTGTGAGAAGAGGCAGTAAGAGGTTGAGGGTGGAGGCAGGGAGGTGGGTGAGGAGGCTGTTGTGGGAAGCAGGCATAGCTGGTGTCAACCCAAGAGATAGAGACAGACTTGGTGATAAGAGACCAAGGTCACTTCTGGAGGGGTGTGACCACTTATCCCACAGCCTTTGGGGCTGATGGAGCTGGTTTCTGTTGCGTGAAAGACAGTTTGAACTTTGGTGCTAGGGGTACCAGGCTGGCTCGGTTGGTGGAGCATGCAACTCTTGATCTCGGGGTTGTAAGTTCGAGTCCCATGTTAGACGTAGAGATTACTTAAAAATAAAATCTTTAAAAAAAACACACACACAACAAAAAGAGGGGCACCTGGGTAGCTCAGTCGGTTGAGCATCCAACTCTTGATTTTGGCTCAGGTCATCATCCCAGGGTCATGAGATCGAGCCCCGTGTCAGGCTCTGTGCTGAACGTGGAGCCTGCTTAGGATTCTCTCCCTCCCTCTCTTTCTGCCCCTCTCCCGCCCCCCATTGTGAGCACACGCCGTCTCTAAAATTAGAAAGAAAGAAAGAAAGAAAGGAAGAAAGAAAGAAAGAAAGAAAGAGAGAGAGAGAGGAAAGAAAGAAAGAAAGAAAGAAAGAAAGAAAGAAAGAAAGAAAGAAAAAGAAAGAAAGAAAAAGAAAGAAAGAAAAAGAAATTTCGTCTAAAGAAAGTAGGACACAGGGGCGCCTGGGTGGCTCAGTCGGTTAAACATCTGACTTTGGCTCAGGTGACGATCTTGTGGTCTGTGAGTTCCCGAGCCCCGCGTCAGGCTCTGTGCTGACAGCTCGGAGCCTGGAGCCTGCTTCGGATTCTGTGTCTCCCTCTCTCTGCCCCTCCCCTGCTTGCACTCTGTCTCTCTCTCTCTCTCTCTCTCTCTCTCTCTCAAAAATAACTAAACATTAAAAAGAAAAAAAAGAAAGCAGGACACCTCTGAAGGATTTTAAGCCAGAGAATGACATGATCAGGTTTGCGCTTTGGAAAGCTCCCCCTGAGATCACAGTGGGTGAACAATTGGAGGGGGCAGATCGGAGGCCAGAAATAGAAAGCCTGAGCCGTGGTCCTAGTGGAGTGGACCCGTGGGGGCAGATGTGGGAGGTTGAGGGGGCTCCTCCATCCTGGACCGGTCGGCCCACGGATCCCAGGGCCTGGCCTGGGGGACCACGAAGGCTGAGGTGACCCCCGGAGACCAGTCGATGTAAAGGGCACTGAGGGTCAGAGGACGTTAGAGTCTCGCCTCCCTCCCACACGGCGGTTGGATTGCAGATTCACTGGGCATTTCTCAGGGGCTTAAGCAGATCATTTTGGCTGAGGTTGGAGGGTGGAAATTCTTGTGTCAAGTGCAGATTTTTCTCCCCAGAATACGTCTTTGAAACGCTACCGAGCATCGTATTCATTGGACCTATTGCATTCCTGTTCCAAGAGGTGGGGTAGAGCTGTGGCAACTTCAGTCCGTGTCCTGCACCCAGCCCTTGGTAGATGCCAGATGATTGTGAGAAGGGTGATGGGTCTCAGACAGGGAAACACAGGGGTGAGAAAATGCGTAGCAGAGCCCAGGCCTCCCCTGTCTCCCAGCCCCTGATCCGCTGCTGGGCTGGGCTCTGCGCTGGGTCCTGTAGGGTTTACAAAGAAGGGAGCCAGGCCCTGGCCTGACTGTGTCCCCACCCCCGCAGAAGCGGTACCGCGCTGTGTATGACTACAGCGCCGCCGACGAGGACGAAGTCTCCTTCCAGGACGGGGACACCATCATCAACGTGCAGCAGATCGACGATGGCTGGATGTATGGGACCGTGGAGCGCACCGGCGACACGGGGATGCTGCCGGCCAACTACGTGGAGGCCATCTGAGCCCCTCCCCTGGGTGCTGCCCCGCCCCCACCCGTCTTCAGTGCGTTCCATGGCATCGCGTCTGTCCTGGGCGTGACCTGCCCACCCTTCGGTGTCTCTGTTTTGTTTTGTTTTGTTTTGTTTTTTCTAAATCTGCGACAGCTTGTTTTATTCCCAACCTCCTCCAGCTACTTTTGCCAACCGAAGCCTTGTTCTGCCACTTTCGCGGGCTCCTTCCTCTGGCGGGTTTTCCCCTTGACCAACTTCTTGGTTTTCTCTCTGGATGGAACAGGCGTGGACCTCTCGGGGGGGGGAGGCCGAGGCCCGGGGAGCTGGTCTGGAATGGGAGACCCGTTGGCTCCCAGGCCTCTGCCTTCACTCTTTTCTGCCCCCTCAGACCTTCCTGCCCTCCTCCGCACACACCCAAACTTGCCAGGACTCCCAGGGGACGGGGCTCCATAGCCCCTTGCCCCCGGGATGGGCTTAGCCTCTGCTTCTCCGAGACGGGGCGACTGGCCCTCGGAGGGGCCCCCCAGCACCCTCTCCCACTCTCAAGGACCACGAAGGAGGGTCGAGTTCCTGCTTTGGGATTCATTCATCCCTCCCCACACGTGTTCCTTCTCACACTGTGATTTTGCTCTCCTGCCCACGCAGCCCTGGTGCGGGCAAGGAGCTCCCCAGGAAGCATGGCTTGGGTCAAGTGCTCGCCTTTCTTGCTTTTAGGGACAGTTGCAGGAGGGAAGGGAACAGGGTGTTCTCTCCCTCAGCCCTTTTTCCTCCTCCCACCCCTCGTCTCCAGACACCCTGGTTGCTCCTGAACCATGAGACAAGGAAGCCTCGGGCCTCTTGGCCTGCCACGCCGGGCCCCTGGGCCCTGGGTTAGGTGGGCCATTCCTCCCTACTCCCCACGGGAGGATGTCTCAGGCCTCCCGCGGCCTCCCCTCCTTGGTCCAGCCCCAAGCACGCTGGAGCTGCACGCAGCCACAGGACCTTCTGTGTCTCCAGGACTCAGCATGTGGGGGAAGGAGCGCGTCTATATCCGTGACAGGCTCGCGTGACCGAAGCAGCCAGGGTCCCGGCCGGCGGGAGTCTCTGGGCTTACGCAAGGGTGCGTGGGGCCGTCTCCGCCTGACAGTTTCCTCAGACCCCACGGTGAGAAGGGAGGGCCGTGGGAGAGAGAAGTTCCTCGTGTCTTCTTTGGAGCGAAGGCCCCTCCTTTCCTTGTATCCCCAAATGGCGCAAGCCCACCCACCTCCTTTTCAGCGTGCTGGGCAGAGGTAAGGGGGTCCTGGAGTCGGTGGGGCTGATGTTGGGGCCTGCAGCTGGCTGGGGTGAGGGTGGGGGGCAAGGTTTCGTGGCTCCAGGAATATTCTCTCCCCTCACGTCCATGTCCTTGGCTGCAGAGTAGAGCATCAGACGACCCTATGTCCCCCACACTGTGGGTGTCTCGCTCTGGGGGCTCATCCCCCGCACCACCAGACCTCTCCCTCGCTTACCCTAAGGCCCCCTGGAAGCAGAAGGAAAAAGTCCCAGGGCTACAAAACTGGAAGCGCAGACCCCGGGGTGAGGAGGGGAAAAATGGTGCTATTTCCAAGTCCCTTCTCTCGCTTGTCGGTGGCTGTGACCACCCTCGCTTGGCTTTACTCCTCTCTGGGCTCTCTCAACACCCCTCTGGGCCTCCCCCTCCTGCCTTCGCCCTGAGTCCGCTCAGGCTCCCCAGCTGACATCTTTGCCTCCTTCGGAAAGGAGGACCCTGCAGGCGAATTCAGCAATCCGGTCCTCACCGCTTGGGGGGGTGGACGTGGGAATATTTTCCCCAAATCAGAAGGTTGAAAAGAAATGGCCATTGGTGTTGGGGGAGAGCCCTGCTTGACTCGTCTCTTTTCCTCTGGCCCCAGCCGAGGTGAAGGCGGGTGGAGGGTCTTTACGTCGGACCATGTGGAAGCTGAGGGCGCTATGGGGGAGCTCTGTTGCCTTTCTTCGCGATCTCAAAGCACAACGCGGATTCGGGGACCAGAGGTCAGAGGTGCATCCTGTTGGAGCACCTGTGGCTGGCAGCGTGGTGAGAGGCAGGAGGAAGGCCTGGAGGAGCAGGGGGCGGCCTGTTTTTCCCTCAGCCTGATTTTCCTTCCAAAGCAAGGCAGGCCAGCCACTGGAATCTTGTTGCTGGCCCCTCTGCTCCTCCCGTCCTAAAAATAGGGGACCTTTTCCACACCCCCAGAGAGAAGAGGGACTGTCACACTGGTGCTGAGGGACCCAGGGGCTGCTGGGAGTCCTTGCTCCTTTCCAGAACCATCCATCCCTAAAAGAGCACAGAACCGAGGGCTGGGCCAAGTCCCTGGTCTTTTCTTACAGTTCACAAAGGTCTTTGGCCAATCTAATCCCAGGAAAGAAGATGCGTTAAAGCTAGAATGTGAATACAACTTTAGTGGACCAATAAGAAAGTGTAAGCCCAATGGTGAGAAAAGTGAATTCTATCAACACTGCTTCGTATTTTCTTCCTCATGTCCCTCCAGGGAAAACTACTTCATTGCTTAATTTCTGCCTTTTTCCTCTCACATATGCACTTTTGGGCCTTTTTTTTTTTTTAATAGCTGGAAAAAAAAAAAATACCACCCCACAAACCTGTATTTAAAAAGATACAAATGACCATGTGAAATTTGCCTCTGTCCAAACATTTCATCCGTGTGCGTGTGTGAAGCCGTCCGTTCATCTTTTTATATGGGGTGGTTGTCTTTTCTTGGTCTGTTTTGGTCCCCTCCCTTGTGGGCTTGTGCTTGGGATCAACTCTTTCTGGCCTGTTATGATTCTCAACGTTTGACTTGGACCACAAGTGAATCTTTCTCCTGGTGACTCAAATAATAAAAGTATAATTTTTACCTGCGGACTTGGTTTTCTCTCTGGCTCTGAGGTACTGTTGCTGAGTGTGTGTGTGTGTGTGTGTGTGCGTGCGTGCGCATGTGTGTCCGTGTCCTGTTTGGGGGCATTAGCCTGGCACCCTCCTGAGAGCACTGCTGCCCTTCAGGGACAGAGTGACCAGTTCCTCTGCCCAGCTTGGTGGCATTTCCAGAAACTTCCCCGAGCTCTTTTATTTCCCTCTTCCTGTCTGACTTCCTTAGTTATGCACCTGTCTCCTCACCAGCCAGTGCACTCAGAGGGCAGGACTTAAGTTCTCTAAATCCCCAGGGCCTGCCAGGGGCCAGGCACATAGCTGTTCAACAAATAAACCTGTTGCATTAATGCATGAGCTCAGCTGGGGTGGGGGGGCAGCTTTGGGACATGGGAGGAGCTGGGCGCTTGTTTGAGGGGTGAAATGGCAGAGGGGCAGTCTGCGGTGGGATACGACGGGATGAAGCCATCTGATCAGGTGGTCTGGCAACCCAAAGCAGTATTCACAAGCCAAATCACCACGGCGATGTCTACCTCACCAATGGGGGGTTCACTGGAACCCGGGGAGGCCGTGCTTTGGCAGAAGTTGCACAGCTAGTGGCAGGGCCAGAGGTCTCAGGACCCAGGGTGTGACCCTCGCAGCCTCAAGCCATGCCGCCTTGCCAGCTGCCTTGTGGAAAGGGGCCTTTCCCGCTTGGGGCTCAGAACAAAGGCATTCTCTGGCTTCAGGTTAGCAGCAGTGGAGATGGAGAGGGCTCTCCCCGAGCCTTGGGAATGGAGAGTAAGAGAGAGGCAGGGCTGGAGGGTGTAGGGAGCGTCGCAGGCGCTGGGCGGGATAATTAAAGACAGTACCGTCACCCGCTCCCTCTGGGAAGGAGCTGCCGCCTAATGTTTTCCGGCGGAAGGGAATGAGTTGGCAGATCTCGCCTCCTGTTGGCCTGCCCCCTCTTGTCTGCAGAGCTGCTGCCCTCTCTCCCGGGAGGCTTCATTCACCTTCATTCAAGGGGGCAGTGGGCTTGGGAGGGGATCCGCCGTCTCTAGAGGCGCCCCGCTCACAGAGACCCTGGGCTCTTCCTCTTGGGCACGAGCCGATGGGAGCAGTTTCTAGACCCCCTTCTAGAAGTGGCCTCGGTTCCCGCGGCCTAACATGTGGAAGGGGGTTACTAATGCCCTCACCCCTGGGGCCTTCAAAAGAACTATTTAGGGTAGGGCCAAGGACAGACACTAGGCCTCAGAGATGTCACAGGGAATTTTTTTTTTTTAATTTAATAGGAAATCATTAAGACATAAAAAGGAATAAAAACAACACAAGACGTAACTGAGTACCCACCACCCCGCTTAAAAGATAAATCATTAATTCTCCTTTCCCCTCAGAAGGCATCGCTTAAATTTGTATATCTAGACCCTCTCATTGCAGGGAGGGGCCTGGGAATTCATTAGTGTGCTCTTTTTTTTTTTTTTTTAAGTTTATTTATTTATTTTGAGAGAGAGAGCAGAGGAGGGGCAAAGAGAGAGGGAGACGGAGAGTTCCAAGCAGGCTCCACGCCATCAGTGCCGAGCCTGATGTGGGGCTTGAACCCACGAACCATGAGATCACGACCTGAGCCGAAACCAAGAGTCAGACCCTTAACTGATGGAGTCACCCAGGCGCCCCAGGACGCTCTTTGATGAAACACTGCCCTGAGCTCTCTGAAGAGAACAAGAATGCGGGTAATGACCACGAAGAGACAAGGAGTCGCTGGAGGAGAGATCTCTGGCGCTCACACTGTCCATGGAGTGATCTGAGCGGTGCAGGTAGGGCTGAGGGGCATTTCAGATGAACAGGGTGGGCCCGTCAGGTCGGGGGTGGGGGGGAAGAACACGGACTCCCGAGTGTGCAAGCCTAGTTTTAAATCTTGGTCTCCCCCGTTTCCGATGAGACATCAGGCCGGTTCCTGACCATCTCTGAGCCTCATCTATAAAAGGCTTGTGGGGAGGTTGAAATGACCTACAGCGCGTGTGCAGTATCTGGCAGAGTTCAGGAATCCCCCAAGCGTTAGCTCCAACCCCAGAGATGCCAACTGAGACTCACCGGAGGCCTTTGTCCGTGTCCCTCCACGACGTGACCCTTACCGCCTGCCCATGGCCCACCC